CAGATTGTCTAGACCGTCGGTTCCTTTCGTTGAGTGGTACGCGGTGGTACTCATAGTACGTTCGAGTAGACAAGACCTCGTTCAACCTGCTGGTCCAGTCCCTTCATTCACTCTATCTCCTTTTAATCCAGGACCTGAGTCAGCCCTGGTCTGGCCACCTTAGATCCCACCCAAGCCCTGAAGTGCTGTCAATGCCTCTTTCAGATTGGCAGGCCTAAACATGCGCTACGAACTGGCGGCGGCATCCGACAGGGATGATCGGAAACCAAGTCGCCCCCTCCCTCCGATCCTTTCCAAACGTCACACCAGCAAACATACATACATGTAAGACGACGTCAAGCTATGTTAACCCCGCAAAGAAAGGGATGCTGCTCTTTTGCCACAGCTCCCTGAGAGTCCAATTCCCCTCTCGGGTTGGCATCACAATGACACTTGTGACTGATGAAGCTGTTATCCTGCACCGAAACGGGCGAGGACCGAACCAGACCAGACCACTTGACGTAACATGAAACTATTCTCGACCTTCACGCGACCCGGCCTGCTAGCCCGGAGAGCCACTTCTGCGACATGTGGTGGGAGAGAGATCGATGCCCAACGGACCTGCTATCGTATACGGGGCGCCACAGGCTGGGTTGTGTTCAATGTTCAATGTCCTCAGCCCTAGCCGGAGTTTCTCCGCGGGTTCAAGGCTCCAGTATCTCCAAAAGTCCACATGATGCGAGGGGTAGACTCTGATTTCTAATGACAGGCCCCATGATTCGTTGCTCAGATATGGTGGATTCTTCGAGTTTGCGCTCCCTTCGACTGTGCATCAGACTATGAGGGATTTCGCGGAATGATGTCCGTCACATCCACATACACTAGTTATGACACCCGGCATACCATGCGTCTGCCCAAGGCACTTCTTTTCGAAAACTGGGCCTCTGATCACAAGCCTGGGAGGATTGGCCGAAGATAGGAGTTCACAATCCCTGCATCACTATGACCACACACACAGACACAAAGAATGGAGCCATCGGAAGCATGCCTCCCCTAGGTAACCGGCTGCTACAAGCCATGCTACTTCTTGCTGTTTCACTGTAAAGATCCAGCCCACCACCATGAGCATACTCGCCTTTATTTTCCTCGGGAAGTGCACTGTACCTGCATTCGAGGCACGGGACGGATTCAAGGTTCAATGTAACTGTGTCTTACCTTTCCAGTCGAATTGCTTTCATACAATAAAGAATAGATCTGAACGAAGGATGTTTCCTCTTGCTTGTGCCGGGTCGCTGTCTTAGTTCAAGCCACCCGTACATTTGACGGAGATCACGATTGCTTCAGAGTCGCCGGGCTTTGCAGGAATGCAAGCCTGGTACAACTCAGTCCGAGATAGCGGCACGGACGTGCTATGACCAACAGCAAAAGACTTTTTCAGTCAATGGTGGATGGTGGACAGAGGGAAGTCTGCTAACACTCAATGCTATGACTGACAAGCAGAGATGACTTCATAAGCAGATGGGAGAGAAGGAGATTTTCGAAAGGGATACGTGAATTCAACACAGTCAATACAGTGGCCTAGGACCGACTATTTGCTGCTCTTGACGAGGACGCGTAAGTCGGAGGCATTTTATCAAATTGGAAGGCCTAGTCTATGTACAAAAGGTTGGGTCTGTCTAAAGAAACCAAAGCATGAATAACGCCTCACCGATGCAAGTTTTGTCGCGCTAATCTCAGCATGTAAACGAGAGAATTGGGGATCGGCTTTCACGATCAAACAGAAGGGCGCCTGAATGGATGCGCCTCAGTGTTCCTGGATTCGAGTTAGCGTCGAGGATTGGAATGGCAGTTGGTGTGGCACCTACAGGACGTATTCGTCCAGATTTACAACATCCGGCTCGGAGAAGATGAGATAAAAGTACTTGAGGGTTTCCGCTAGCCAGAAGCTCTCCATGTAATCCAGCTGTGGTGACTCAGGATCGCGCACATCAGCGATTGCAGCGTGGGCAAAGTGCGTCCAAGTCATCTTCTCGATATTCTTAAACATTCGCCATGCAGCATCTTGTAATTTCGTATCGCCGGTGATACGGTACAGTATAAATACAGATTCGATGGCCTCTGGTCTTTGAACAATGTCAGCGCATGAGTATGCCAGCAGGACGAGAAAACTAACCTGAGGTGATACTTCGGGTCTGGAATATCAACCACCCCCGGCGGCAGCCCGTATGTTTCAATGAGTGATTCGGCCTGCTCGATGGAATTCTGAGAGCTGGACTTCTTCGCCAAGCGGTGTCGCACATCCTGATACCACTTGTTTTCGTCCCACTTGCAATCATTGGGGTCACGACATGCGCTCAGATGGAGTATCTCTGGCATGATACCAGTGGGCATGATATCGTATGCCCAGATGCATCCATCGGCCAGCTTCCGCGCGATAGAGAGTTCTTCGGGACGGTCGAATACTTTGGCCCCAATGCCGACAGTGCCACCCAAGAAGCACTTCAGATGTTCCCATTGTGGATCCAGCCTTTCCCTGCTGGGGGAGATCACATTGGCCTGGACGTTCCCAGCGAAAAGAATGTCTTGATTGTCCTTCGTCATTGGGCGGAAGAGGAGACGGCTCTTGAGAGCTTTCATGAACGAGTCGTACATTCCGCGATATTGATTTGTTTGAGCTCCAAGCAGCATATGCTCCTTGGGGAGATACTCGTACGTCGAGTCAGCCATCCCTCCGATTGTAAATCGAGGGTCACTGAATTCCATATCTTGTGCATTCACCATCATAGGCCACAAGCCTGGCAGTTTCGTAAGTCCCTGATTCTCTTCAAAGAAGTCTGTAATCCTTTGAATGGCATCGAAGTACTTAGGATCCTTGGTCAGCTGAGACATTCGGGTGAATTCCAGACTGAGCGATCCGAGTTCAGCAAGAATAGTTTGTTTACTGGGCATAATGCCGTGACCTCCTGCAGATCTAGAGGCCGGTCAGCACCTGCTCTTATCATACGGATACAGCGCCTAGGGTAGCGCGATCCGTCCGGTCATCGTGATCGAATGTATGTCTGCCTTACCTGGTCCATTCCCATCTGGATTGCGGCATCCTGTTACGGGTGTCGAACGATCCATATATCATGTCCGCAATCTCGGTGGCCTTCTTGAGCAAGATAGGGTATTTTCCATCGGTAAGATCATAGGCTCCCAGAAATCCGCCCAGGTAGCGAATGTTGGTCTCGAAAATATTGATCTGCAGAGCGTGCGTGGTCGAGAAATCGATGCGGTCGAGAGCTTCCAGCGCTTCTTCGAACTCTTTTGTCATGCCCATGATGACCAGAGAATCAAGGGAGTCAACCAGCGTAGCTGCCCATCCAGCAAACGTCTCGCGATGGCGCCCACTGAGGGGAGACAGCTCGTCCCGTAGCCAGGCATTGTCTCTGTATCCTTTCCACGCATGTTGGAACGCCTTCTTCACGGCGTTCTGTCTCTTCTTCCTCCTCCATCCAGCAACCCACGACTCTCTTGGGAACTCATACTGTATCTTAGGTATAGCGGATGGTACTGCTGTAGGAAGAGGGATGTAATCCTCGATTGGATGATGTTCGGATTGTTTCGTCCAATGGATTCGATCACCACCTGACGATGCTGAAGTCGAGGTGGGTTGTTGCGCATTGTCATGAGCATGTGAATGTGGTCTCCTGGCGCCGGGCGGTAGACTAGAGAACAGACTGTAGGTGAGACAGATAAGAATCACAGTAGGGAAGAGATAGCTTCTCCGCGAAAGTATCATGGTGATTGGTTTACTTTATGAAGTAATGGCGCAAATGGACAGAATTGATTGATTGAGAGAAAGGACAGCCGTTCAAGCTACGGCCAGAAGTTATAATAAAGAAACAAGTTTAAGCATCGAGAGGAGGCTCGATACCAGACTCAGTCTGAAGTCACCCCGGGCTTGGGATTCCGAGACCAGTACAAAAGAGCGAACGAATTGGGGGAGTTTCCAGGTTCGCGAGACCCTTGGAAAACAGGTATTGTCTAGGAGAATATGGATGAGAAAAAGACATATGGCCCGTATATAGCCGTCAGGGATCGATCACCCCTGGCTGTAGGGGGAGCTCAAGGACCTTTCCTGCTACTTCAGGTTAAGGCTAGCTCATAAGCATCAGTGTCATTGGTAATTCCAGCATTTTAGGTGGAATGTTGTATCAGACGGGTCAATTGCACTGTCGAACAGCCAGTAATGTGTGGCATGCTGATCGCAAAGAGGAGACAAACCGCATCAGAGTGGCTCAGAAAGTCAACAGAGCTTACCACAGTAAGTAAGAGACGAGCAAGGAAAACAAGCACCGCGGCGGGAGGATCTGCCCATTGCGTAAGCTGGTGGCGCTTTCGACCCTGGCTGGCCGCGGGGCCTTGGATCTCAGGAAATGAAATGGGTTAGTGAGACTCAGATAGGTAGGATTTTCTATTCTTAACCTTTGACATATCCCGTGGGAAACGGCCCCTGGAGAGAGAGGGGGGCGGAAGGGTCTCAGGCTCTGAGCCTCTGAGCCTCTGAGCCTCTGTTATGGAACTGTAACCCGCCTCTTGGCAGCAATAGCAGCAACACCAGCAGCTCAAGGAAGATTAATTGGGGAATTTATTGGTATCCTAGGAATGCAGGTGAATGAGGCCAGCCAGGGTCTGAAGAGACAGCCTAGACTGCTTGCTAGACTAGAAGCACGCCCGTCGGGGTAGAGAGGGCTGGGTATCGGATAAAACGATGAATGTGGAGTCTGGATGGGCCCAACTTCCAAGGGATCCAGTGCTTTTGCTTGGACTGTGATTAATGGGAGTGGAGGCGGGACTGCGGGCGCACAAAAGCACGGGTGAGGGCGGGAATCCGGTTGTTCCATTCCGTCCCCTCGCTGTTTGCTCTGTTTGTGTTGCAGCCTTATCAACTAGGCATCAACGGCTGGCTTCACTACTTTGGGTTAATTCTTCTATCACTGGCAGGCTTAAAGTAAGGCTAATATCTATGATTGTACCTCCACCGTCAAAGTTATAGCATCGTCCCAGCTCCAAGTATTGCTTCAATATACCGAAGACTATATAATAAAGTATAGCAATCAAGTATGTAGAGAGGAATACGAAAACACCCATACTTTTCTTTCAGCCAGTGCTAACACAATAGCAGACAACAACTTACTGCAAAGTATAAGTCTCTATCGACCAGTAACTCGGTCCTATTCTGGGCTTGCTGTCTTAGTCCGTATTCACACTCGACTTTCTCTGCTACCTTGCGCACGTTACCATCAGACCACGCAAAGGTGTGCTGTGCCCAGCTCATACCGTACCGGTCCCATAACGGGGACGCCGCCGTCTGCTCAGACAGAATGCCCATCACGGGGTAAACAACCTCTCACTCAGTTGCTCCCATCGAGCTTGATCCTTTTCGACAACTAACTTACCCAACCCCCTGCAGGGTGTACTTCATCCCTTCCAACCCCAATGCCTCAACGGCACTGGCCACGGTCACCGAGCGCCTCCACACCGCGTTAGCAGAGGAGCCCACCCTCGTCGGCCGGTGGTTCCTGGAGCACAAGCTCATGCGAGACACGCCATCATGCCTTCCAGCGTCTACGCCTCAGCAGCGCCAAGCGCAACCACGATACATGCAGTTCCTCTCCCTCTCCTACCACGCCAACCACGGCTTCATCTACACCTCTGAACCCACCCCGGCTAACCCTCCGGCCCCGCCGCCGCCTACGCCAGCCGGAGCATCCTCCGGCAGCCCAGCATCATCGTCATCATCGGCCGCCGGTCCCATGGTGATGACCACCGTCCCGCTCGCATCCAGCAGCACCCTCTTCCACCACTTCGGCTACGCCTGCCAACCCTTCTGGTGCCACCGCCACACCGTCACCGTCCCCGGCGGCGCCGTCTACGACGTGGGCGACTTCCGCGTGCGCGTGGGCGACGTGCGCCAGACGCAGCCGGCGGCCCGAATCCGCGGCACGGTCGTGGAGATCGAATGGCGCGGCCCGTCCTTGGTCAGCTCGATAGCCTCGCAGGCGCTACTGGCCAAGAAGATGGGTTCCGGTCCGTACGCCGCCACCGCGACTGTTGACGAGTGGGCAGACGGCGATTCCGGGATCGATATGAGCTTCTTCCCGGACGGGGTGGAGGAGGCGGATGTGGACGCGGAGTACGCGGCGAGTGCGGCGCTGATACGCGAGTTCTGGGCTCGGCTGGGCATCGAAGGCGCACGCGAGGCAATCCTGGTGCCGGATGTCGGCAGGGAGGTCAAGGAGCAACTGAGGTGGCTTAAGGCGCACGGTATGCAGAGAGAGTCCGAGGAGAAGCGGGAGCAACAGCCGGACGAAGATCCCGATCCGACGGCGGGAGTGGATTCGGCGAGGCAATTTATGGAGATTTTCCGGTTCAATCGGTGACACTCTGTATTCGGTGTAGTCTTTATCAATGGAAGAGAAGGCCGAAACGCGGCGAAGCAATTCAGGTGTGTTCCCATTGTAGAAAGCTGTCGCTGGGAAGATTGCCAGACTAGCTTACGGATAATGATAATTATGTATGCTACTGTTCTCGGGGCTTTGTTGGTAAATTTGGGTTGGGTTGTGGTATGCCTCCTTTCAAGATTTCTTGGCAGGTCATAAGCCTCAACCCTACAGGGCAAGTTACTTGGTAGCCTGAAATTACATGTCAGGACCTGAGGGTATTTTCTTGTTGGGCTGTTTCGTCTGAGCATAATTACCGCTGAAGCACGAAAACTGGAACCTAGGCGGCTAGATCGACTGACAGGAGGGCTAGTAGCGAGAAGCGGCCTGTTACGAGGGCATAAGGATGTGAACATGCAACCCAGAGCATCCTCGACCAAACCAAGAGAATTCAATCTCTTGTGAAGCACACGGGTATTGTTGTCCCTCATCTGACACGACCAGACGTGGTCTAGAGTTTATGTCGGTGCTAATATTGTTTGCAACAATGACGACGAAACGACTATGACAATGGAGAGCGCGCTGATGCTCAACCCCTGGTGACCGTAATCGAATAGATAGACTACAAGAAGCTGTATCAGGAATGAGATGGGATACTGTGGAGTACACTTCTCTGCCCCCACCCTTTCGCTAACAAAAAAAATAAAACAAATTGAATATTAACAGCCATCTATTTTTGCATCATGAGCTGAACAAACTCATTGTCTGGAGGAAGGAGCAAAAATTAGTCATCGGACGGACACTCAAGCAGGGAATGTGTGAAACATACAGTCAATACGGCCGTCCCCGTCCTGGTCCGCCTCACGGATCATCTCATCGACTTCGTCATCGGTGAGCTTCTCACCGATAGAGGTCATGACGTGGCGCAGCTCCGCGGCAGAGATGAAGCCGTTGTTATCGCGATCGAAGACCTTGAAGGCCTCACGGATCTCCTCCTCGGAGTCGGTATCCTTCATCTTACGGGCCATCATGGTAAGGAACTCTGGGCAGCTGTCAATACTATGTCCGGAACCCGATGCATAGCCATCACATACCGGGGAAGTCGATAGTGCCGTTGTTGTCAGCGTCAACCTCGTTGATCATGTCCTGGAGCTCAGACTCGGAGGGGTTCTGGCCGAGAGAGCGCATAACGGTACCCAACTCCTTGGTGGTAATTTGTCCTGTAGCATAGGTTGTGTCAGAAATGCGATTAATTCTTGATAGTTTCTGTGGCGTTTGCGGTGTGGTGGTTATAGTGGTGCCAGGCGGGTTTCGTTGAGGGGTAAGGAACTACACTAACCATCGCCATCCTTGTCCTATCAGGGATCACGAGAAACGAATCAGTAAACATTGTTTCATAGCAGACGAGAAAGCATCGGGGTCGCTTACAAAGAGGGAGAAGGCCTCCTTGTACTCGGAAACTTGCTCTTCGGTCAGAGAATCGGCCTAAATGATGGGATGTTAGCAATTCTGACCAGCATTCCAGATCGATCTGCCCCGCAAAGTGGGGGATTTTCAACACAACTAGGCCAAGACCGCGAACAGGAAGATAGACATACCATGGTTAATGAGATATATGTGATGGAATCACGAAAGGACCAAGAAGAAAGTTAATGGATCGAGGAATGAAGGAAGAAGAGGGAAACTGTTGGTTTGGTAGGAGTGGGCGAAAGTAGTGGGGGGGGGAGGGAGGAGGAGTCGGTAGTAGTAGTGGTGGTGGTGGAAGATGATTTAAGGGGAACCCGAACCCATCATAATAATAAAAGGACCATTGAGCGGGATTGCCTGGCAAGGCGGTCGCTTATGCCCGAAACGTGACCCGCCTGGGCCACCATGTGTCCTCAACTGTCAATTATTTATTGCCATGAATAGGTGGTATTTACAGTCTGTAGTTGCTATTTTTGTTCGGAAGTGCTTCTGCTGCTGGCTTTAATTGCCACTGCATGCTTCTCTAATTTCCTGCCAGCCCTGCGTGATGGCTGTGCCCCTCGTGCATTTGCTGTCGTCCCCTCGTGCTCGCACCGCCGCTCGTACTGTTCCAGTTAGGTTACCGCCTAGAAAGCAGTGTCTGGCCGCACCCGTGGATCCCCGGCAGTACCAAAGCTTGAAGGCAGCAAGTTCCGCAGCTGTGTCCCAGGGTCAACTTTATTCAGGTACTTTTCGCTGCAGAGTTCCCTGGCAGTCCATTCACTGCTGCGTTCCTTCTGCTACTTTGAGACTAAATTGTGTTGAATGCGATGATTGTCCCTGTCTGCTGCGTTCCCATCTGCGCGCAGAAATAGTGCTTGGATGGCCACAGCTGGAAACCAACCCAACGGTGGTCCCTCGTTGCACCGAAGAGAGAGATATTCTAGGGTTTCTCTTGGGTTATCATTCATACTCCGAGACTGGTCATAGGAAATATGTATCTTTTGTCCTGATACGGTAAGCGATATAGTATACAGACGCAGTTGAAGACCGACTCTCGAACTATGTCGAAGTAATTACAACAATGCCTTTATCTCACTGTAGCCCGGAAGAAGCAGGAGGAGCATGATACTAACGGTAGGAAGCATGCTGCTGAATGCCTTTCAATGATGTAGGCGCGACTCTATCCTCCTCTGGACAAACCAACACTTGACTTCTGAGTTGTATACTTCAAGCAAGAAGGATCTGGGCCTACCTGAGACTTTATCAAAGGCCTGAATCTTCATCACTGAAATACCAGCATAATAAGTTATTGAGTACGGAGTACACAAAGTTGCGACCAGGGTGCTGATGGCTGACGTAATGGCGAGGATCATCCATGCTCCATGCCGTGCTTTCCGAAAGAGGGAAAGTGCCGGATTGGCCTTCATGTGCAACATGCCCGGGAGGTCCAGCTACGGAAGTACAGGAACAGCGACAGGTCCTATCGGGCGCATTTCGTGTTAATCATCTGCACAGTGACCAGGAGAGTCCTTGTACTTACGCGAAACGGTCTATTCTCTCTTGATTTCACTTCTAACAAGAGCCTCGTCCCAACTCTATCTCTCCTGTGTGGCCCGACAATGATCAGGGTAGCAGCAGTCTAGAGGCGCAACCCCCCCCCCCCCCCCGTTGACGGAACACCGCAGAACAAGGGCAACACCCACAGACATTGCTTCACCATGTGGCGGGACCGGACCAATCTGTACTCTTCATACCTATACACCGGTCGTCTTTGCGAACATGTCATGCTGATCTTTCGATTGATCATAGTTACATCTCCTACCGTCAGTCGTTCACACATCATCCGGCCAAGAAGCCACGTTATCTCGGCGCCTCCAATGGCTTCTCCGACATCCCCTCACAGTCTGAAGAGAGCCGCCGACTCATCGGCGAGACGGGCGGATCAGATGAGGATGGCGACGCTATCATCGAGATGGACGTATTACCCCCGCGCTGGGTCGATGTGCAGGATGAAGTGACGGAGCTGCTCGCCGACATCGCGCAGAAGTCCGCCCAGCTGGACAAGCTACACCAAAAGCACCTTCTCCCCGGGTTTGGTGACGAAGAGATCAGGAAGCAGGATGAAGCAGCCATCGAGCGACTCACCCAGGACATCACGCGCTCCTTCCACGTATGCCAGAAGGCCGTGCAGAGGATCGAGATGATGGTGCGGGATGCTAAACAGCAGGGCGGAGTCAGCAGCGGAGATGAGACCATGGCGAAGAATCTACAGATCTCGCTGGCCGCACGTGTGCAGGAAGCCAGCGCTCGATTCCGGAAGAAACAAAGCAATTACTTGAAGAGTGAGTGTTGCGGCTGCGAGCCCTCGCTTTCGGGCCCTGTACATTCTGGTTCTATGCGCTAACCATTGTCTGGCTGGCAGAGCTACGAGGTTTGGAGGGTGGCGCTTCCTCTTTTGACCGGTCGCCGACCCCGATGCAGAATCCCTTCACAGATCCCTCCCTCCTGGAATCAGACGCGGACAAGTCCTTCTCCCAGTCCACTCTCATGCAAACCTCACAGCGTCTGTCAACATCAAATGACGCCGCTATCGTACAACGGGAACGGGAAATTAATGATATCGCTAAAGGAATTATTGAGCTGTCAGACATCTTCCGCGAGTTACAGGCTATGGTGATTGATCAGGGTACTATGCTGGATCGCATAGATTACAACATTGAACGTATGGGCACGGAGGTCAAGGCAGCAGATAAGGAGCTCAAAGTAGTAAGTTCTATTTGGTCGTCGTATTGCGAAATGAGACTAACATAGCATCCTATCTCAGGCTACTAACTACCAGCGGCGCACGGTCAAACGCAAGATTCTCCTCCTCTTGGTGATATTGGTGGCAGGGTTATTCATCGTATTGCTAGTCAAACCAAAGAAACATGATTCCCCCGCGCCTCCTTCACCGGCACCGGCACCGGCACCGGCACCAGCATCGGAGCCACCCTCTACACAGCCAAACCAACCACTCCCTGGATTGAGCTCTCGTGCATTCAGGTCAAGCTACCACCGAAAGAGACGACCGTCGTTGACCAGGGTCGCGAGGGACAAATGGGTGGATCCAGACATATACCCATAGTTCTTTCCGTTAAATCCAGTACTTTCGCCTGGTTCCGATGATACAGTGTCATTCTCCAATAGCAAAATCAGCCAACAGCCAGCCAACATCATAAAAGATTGTAAAAAGTGTCTCCCTGCAGAAGCATGGCTAAACAGCGGAAATACGGAGCTTGAAAATGTGCGTGCCAATGGAAGCACACAATGAAACTTGAACAGCTGGTGAATGTCGAAATCAGAGCGGTAGCTTGCATATCCATATACCCACCTAGTAGTGCGGGGTATCAATTCTGTGCATCGCCTTCCTGCTTCAAGAGCTCCGCCACATCAGCATCCAGATCGCCGCTCGCAAATTGAGCGTAGTCCTCTTCTTCGTGAGTGACCTTGCGTTTCTTGGCATGGAGGCCATTCGACCCGTCAAAAATTGCCGGGCCTAGATCTGATGTGGGGTAGGATGGGTTCAGAGGATGCTCAATTCCAGGAAGTGTGAACCCGCTGACAATCTGGGTTTCGTTGGTGAGTCCTGGAATTGTTTCCTGGGGAGCCTGTTTCGGAGAGCCAACGGGTGTTAGGGCCTCAACGGGCGGAGGAGTCAGAGCCTCGACCTCCGGCCGAGGCACACTCGCTTCTCCACCAAGCCCGAGGTCTCCAGTAGCCGCAGGTGAGCTTTCCGCAGACAGGCCTCGCATGATGCCATCCTCGACCTCCCGCTTGGTCGCCTCGGTTTCGGCCTTTCTTTCTCCGAGCTGCGTGGCCAGTCTCTGCTCTTTTGACAAAGCTGAGCGATTGGTCTCCAACAGTTTCTCAAGACCGTCAATTAGTGCCAACCGCGATTTGATCACCTCCGAAACGGAGCTCTCAGCATTCGCCAGAGCCTTCAATAATTGGCTGAGCCGTGCAGCGTGCACCGGAGGGGTAGGCAACGGGTTCTTCGGATCGTGTAGCTTATCGTACTCTGCGTTGGCAGCGGTGGCGGATGCAGTCGAAGTTACTGTAGCTTTTGAAAGGGCTGTCTGCAAAGGGACCAATGGCTGAAGCTCAGATGGGGTAGAACCGGACGAAGTTGAGAAGAGTGATCCGCCCAATGGCGGCTTTTTCCCGGTAGAGCGTGATTTATCAATCTCTGGAAAGATATGAGCTAAGGTTGTATTGAAGCGTCCATTCAAAGCGTCCTTACCATCCACTCGAGCCTCGATAACATCCTGGATTGACGGCTCGAAGATTGCCCGTGCCCTCCAAACCTCTATTACTCGTCGCAGCTTCTGTTGAATGTCATTCGAGGCACCCTTGTATGCAGTAGCCGTCGCCTCCGCGATGATCTTCTAGATGTCAGCTTTATCCTTAATCTTACGAGGTTTTGACGTAACATACTGGAGAGAACGCGAGGAGGAAGTCTTCCTTGCGCCGCGCGCGCGACTGTTGCACGACCTCTGGGTTGGGTCAGTCATCGGGGACCAGGCTAGTAGTATGTGCCGTGCGTACCATTGGCGAGATAAATCAGATTCAATCGCTTCGGCGCAGGCGATTCACGCAATTTCTGCAGCCAAAGCTGCCCTGTCCGCTCCGCGTGTCGTCTATCGATTGCGGACCTGGTTAGCCAAGACCAATTGGTTATCCATAGCTGTCAAGATCATTTACCTATGGAACATAACCCATTGGGCGACTGTGACAATGCCTTCTTGGGTCTCGTTGAGCGCAGAGAGCTTCGCTTTGACAGCGTCATCGGTATAAGCCATTGTGGTTGCTTCGCTCTTTCAGAACAGCAATCTACTGTGGTCTGGCAAGTGTGATGGGGTAATTGTGGATTTCGGTATGTTTGGGCTGGCGACTCGAGTTGTTATAGGTAGATAAGTGGTGGCTAACCCTTGGAGATACAAACGGGACAAGGAGAGGATACAGAAAGGCCAAGACGAGGTCCAGAGGAGCAGAAGAGAATAGAAAGAAGGACTACTGAGGTGAAAGTGAAGGATTCCCTGAAGAGTAAGTCACTCTCTCAGGTCCGATGCAAGCTGCAGCCCAGAGCTCTTACCGCCCTCCGTGGCAGAATCCGGGGGGGTTCTCCAATTGCCCATTCAAACGGACTCTCCGCCCGCATCCCCAACCCGCCAGCTGGTACCTTACATCCATTCCCCTCCGCTCCCCTCCCTCTTCCTCCTCATCGCTTTCGTCTTCTGGCGGTTACTGCACATTACTGTGGAAAGTCGCATAACATTTCTGAACCTCACGTAATCAATCAAACATGGCCGACCGCTTCCCTTCATTGGAGGATTTCTCCGCGGGTGAGCAACCCGCATCATCGCCGCTTCTACTACATCATGATACTAACCCGTCGCTAGGCCAAACTGAGGTGGTGGAGACTAATGGCGGTGCTGATGAGAACGACTTTCTGGCTCGCGAAAGAGCCATGCTTGGTGATGATGCCGAGCAATTTGCAACTCCCCAAGACCATGTCGCTGCTACCGAAGACGTAAACAACGATGACGATCTACTTGGTGGTGGTGCGGATGCCTTCCCAGCCGCAGGCGATGCGTCTCCTAACGAGATCGGCGGCTTCGAATCTTCATTCCCAGCTCTCGACACACAAAATGAGGTACGCATTGTACTCAATTCCTTTAACGGTCATGTTTCAAGCGTACTAATGTACTGCTGGTCAAACAGCAAGTTGCCCCTGGTGGTACAATCACTGGAACGGGGGCCCCCTTCCCGCCTACTGGATACACCAACTACACTTCCCAAGCTCCCGACGAGGAGCCTGAGCCCGTCAGGTAAACACCATCCCAAGCTCGAGAAAGTCGACACGCCACTATCCCCGCTCTTCACCGCTCCGTCGCTTCCATGCTGCCCATGTTTCTGACATTGCGACTTCTATAGGGAATGGCGTGAAAGACGCAATGCAGACATTCAGCGTCGTGCCGAGATTTCCGAGGAGAAGAAGGAAGCGACCATCAAGAAGGCGCAGGAGGACATTGATGACTTCTACGTCTCCTACAACAACAAGACAGACAAGCTGCGCGCTCAGACTCGCGCCGAAGCCGAGCAGTTCCTTTCTAATCGTGAAGACACATCCTCTGGCGGCACTAGCTGGGAACGCATTGCTAAACTGGTTGACGTGTCTGGAAAGGGTAGCAAGGGTGGCGCCAGCGGATCTGGCAAGGAGCGCTTCCGCGAGTTACTGCTCGATCTGAAGAAGGACCAGAATGCACCCGGTGCTGGCGGTGTCTAGACCTCGAATCACCTGAACTCCACGGTTGGCGAACGGGACCGAAAAGAAAAAGTCTCCTGGAAATTATACCTCATCACTTACTTCAGCGCCATTCTCATGAACATCATGTTATTCCGCATCGACTCCAAGAGCCTACACGTTCCTCACCAACCTGAATATACCTATGTTGACCGCTTGGGGCCGTGGTGGCTTCCTAATCACATGTTTCTTTATCCTATTTTCGTCACATGTTTTGATATCTTCGTTATTCCCTTTCTGTAGCTAGATCATGCATATTGGAACACTAAATTATTTCACACCTCGTGGAACTACGTAATATAACGGAATAAAACCCAACACCTGCAGATCAATTCCGGAGACTATTGCATGCCTAAACTGTGATGGCCTTGGGTTAGCAAGTGCAGTATGTGGAAAGTAGATGATCGGAATATTAGCATAGTTGCCGGTCGGGGTTCAGATGATAACAACATAAAGACCTATGCCAACAATGGCATCTAGGCTGTACATTCACACTCCTCAGTCCAACTCGGTGATATCACCTCCTGGCTCGCCTATCTCCTCCCTCTCCTTCTTGTTCTCCGCCTCGATCTCTTCCAACTTCTTCCGACCTTCTTCAGTCGTGGCGTCGACAATGCCCTCCTCGAGACTTAGCATGCCGAATTGTCCCAGCTTCTCAACGACATCCTCAGCCTCTTCAACGCTCAATTCCCCGAGAACCTTATTAACTTCGTCCAGAGACTCGGATGCCAAGGCATTCTGCATTTCTTTCGAAAAGGACTCGAAGACCTTGCGCGCCTCCACCTCGATGGGATCCTGACTCTCGGCTGCAGGGATAGCAATACTGATCTTGGTGTTGGGGTCAACCGCATGCAACTGGATCTGCTCCACACCAGCCGGATCGTTAGATGCGGAGCCATCCTTGGCGAGCTGTGCAGCACGCGTCTTGATCTTGTTATAGGTCTCGTTCACGTCATTTCGGAAAAGGGTTCCGGCCTGGTGGTCTGCCGTTGTGATGCTAGAATGTGAAGTAACTGTTAGCGTATTGTTTTCACGGGTAAGCACTTCATACACGTACCGTTTGAAAAATAGAGAGATGCCGTCGCGGCCGAGGGACCGGCAATATTGCAACAGCAATGCCTGGTGGACACATTGACGGGCATACTCTTCCTTGCCTTCCATCTGGCTATTGAAGGCCTCCACAAGGAGGCCATCGGTCTCTCTCTCAGCGACGATCTGGGGGTTTGCGGAGATGAACTGCAACAAAGCGCGGTAATCGCTGCGGTCGATCTTTGCAAACCGCTTGGCCAGGTCACTGGCCTTCATGTCCTCTGGGTCCTCATCCCCATCCTCATCATCGGCTGCCGCAGGTTTCTGGGACGAAGCACCAGCGGAAGCTCCGGGGTTCAGAAGCTCGACCGTCTGGGTCTTCGCCGACGAGCCCTGGGCCCCTTGGATTTCGCCTCCCTTGGCGATATGCGAAGTGTCAAAACCAGTGTGTAGCTGGTCGCTGGTGATCTTGCTGCTCTCCTCCTTCTCCAGTTGCGCAAGTCTTTGGTGAAGCTCTTTCTGTAGACCTTGCACCTTATCCTTATGTCCCTGCACGCCCTTGATGTATTCCGAGAAAAGCCTATCATCACTGACTTCACCGATTTCTTTCTTGACCTGATCAACCAGAGCACCCATCATCTGAGAATACTTGGGTTGTTCCTTCTCTTGCGTATGGACTCCCTCCGGCGGCGGGGGAGGCAGGTCCTCTGACGGATTACTGGCAAATTCCATTAAAGCCTGGAAGACGAATTCCTCGGGGCTCTTGGAGGAGCCTTCATTTTGCTTCAGGAGTGTGAGAAGCTTGTCGATGCGGGCGAGCAAGCCATCGTTGATTATGCGCTCATACTTGAAGGTTTGGATCTCATGACGGCGCTGCACACGCTGCTGGTGGATCTGAGCCTGTTTGGCTCGGATGAAGGAGCGCTTATCGACATTCGGATGCACTTCGATGTCGGAGTCATCTGACAGCTCGAGAGCATCCCACTTGCTATAGTCGAGAACCATGGTGGGTTCAGTGTGCCGATGTTCAAGAAAGTATAGTTAAGGAGAAGTGGGGGTGGGGTAGGCAGCAAAACAGCAACTGTTTAAACTAGTACTGCAAAACACAGCGTGGTTGGGTATGGTTGTGATTAGGGCGGGGAATTGCAGATCAGAAAGTAGGTGTCTCTTTATTCCAGCAAGGAAATAAATCGTGCGCAACCACAGCAACAAGCGCAGACTGCTGCTTCAACATCCATCGAATGCTCTCGACCAGCTTCGATGGCGGCGGAATCACAGCAGGCGGTGTGGAAGAGCAGAACCGCCGCCGATGCGAGGCCGAAGCAGCGATGCTCGGGACCGGAGGTTCGGCGGGCTTCGCGGCTGACCTCCAGCTTTCTGGCTTTCCCCTCCATCAACCTCACAACCAGCCCCCAGGAAACAGAAAGTTGAGCTCGTCTAGGACTCGTACCCCATGTTTTCTGAGAGCATCTAGCAGGATATGGCATCCGCCTTCCCTCAAACGCCGTTCATTTCAGCAGCTATCTGATCCCGCCCTCTACACTTCTCCGATATGCGCGGAGCCAGGCTGCTGGCCTCCTGGGCTCCAGGAGTAGCTGCCAGACAGACAGCTCGAACGCCTGGAAGCATCGCTTCCGAACTATTTTCTCAGAATAATGCCTCTCCCGTTGGGACGAGTTTTCTTGGATCCAAGAGACACTTCTCAGGACCATCGAGCATATTACGCAATTACCACGGAACCCCTCTACCCTCCGGATCGCCGCCCTCTCACGTCAATCGCGCACGAACCGCAATTGATCCCTCGCAACTGTTCGGATGTATTCGTCTCTTCTCTTCCTCTCAGATATCACTGGAGGCCAGGCCAACGGGTCAGATGACACCATCGCAAACTCAAAAAGACACGACACAGGATAAGGATGATGAGGATCTGGACAAGGGATTTGAACTTTCGGAACGGGCAGCTCAGGCAGCTAAGGTCAACCTCCGGGCAAAGCTAGCCAAGGACGGGGCTTCAGGAAAGAATGCTGGGCTCAAGGAGATTTGGCGACTGCTATCCATCGCGCGCCCAGAGGCTAAAAAGCTCGGGTTCGCTTTCTTCTTCCTACTCATCTCTTCGGGTATCACGATGTCTATTCCCTTCTCTATTGGCAAAATCATGGACGCAGCCACGAAGTCGGCGCAAGACAACGAGACAGCAGATGAGGGCGCTCCGGATCAGCTTTTTGGCTTGAGTGTACCTATGTTCTATGGTGCATTGGCCGGAATCATGACCCTGGGTGCTGCCGCTAACTATGGTCGCATTGTCATTCTGCGTATCGTCGGCGAGCGCGTCGTTGCTCGACTCCGTTCGAATTTGTTCCGGAAGACCTTTATTCAAGATGCGGAATTCTTCGATGCGAACCGCGTGGGTGATCTGATCTCACGTCTTGGCTCCGACACGATTATCGTTGGCAAAAGTATCACCCAAAATCTCTCCGACGGTCTCCGAGCGACGGTCAGTGGTGTGGCAGGATTTGGCCTCATGGCTTATGTCAGTCTCAAGTTGTCCAGTATCCTGGCGCTTTTGCTTCCTCCGATCGGTTTAGGAGCTTTCTTCTATGGAAGATCGATTCGAAACCTGAGCCGCAAGATCCAGAGGAATCTCGGAACCCTTACCAAGATCGCCGAAGAACGCTTGGGCAATGTGAAAACTAGCCAATCCTTTGCTGGTGAGATCCTGGAGGTCAACCGCTACAACACTCAAGTTCGCAAGATCTTCGAGCTCGGCAAGAAAGAGTCTCTGATCAGCGCGACCTTTTTCAGTTCTGTATGGTACCCTGAGTCGAGATATGCTGAAGGTTTCGCTGACTTCTCCGTAGACCGGATTCATGGGTAATATGACCATTCTTGCTCTACTCTATGTTGGGGGTGGAATGGTCAAATCAGGCGCCATCAGCATTGGAGAGCTCACATCTTTCTTGATGTATACTGCCTATGCTGGATCCAGCATGTTTGGTCTCTCTAGCTTCTATTCCGAACTAATGAAAGGTGTCGGTGCGGCTAGTCGTCTTTTCGAATTGCAGGACCGACAGCCAACGATATCACCCACAAAGGGCGTCAAGGTTGAATCTGCTCGTGGCCCCATCCGCTTCGAGAATGTTTCGTTCAGTTACCCTACCCGCCCTGCGGTTCCTATCTTCCGCGATCTCAATTTCGAGATTCCTCAGGGTACAAACGTCGCCATTGTCGGACCCTCAGGCGGAGGAAAGTCCACCATTGGCTCTATCTTGCTGAGATTCTACAACCCCACTGCAGGACGCGTTCTGGTCGGTGGCAAGGATATCAGTGAGATGAATGCCAAATCTCTCCGCAGGAAAATAGGTGTAGTTGCACAGGAGCCTGTCTTATTTTCTGGAACAATTGCCGAAAACATCTCCTATGGAAGTCCCCACGCAACTCGGTCAGAGATCATCGCGGCTGCCAGGAAGGCGAACTGCCAATTCATCAGTGACTTTGTAAGTGGTTGAAATGATTCGGAAAGCGTTCACAGCTGACACATGTTCGGTAGCCGGATGGCCTTGACACTCAGGTTGGACCTCGCGGAGCTCAACTCTCTGGTGGCCAGAAGCAACGCATTGCCATTGCTCGCGCTCTGATCAAGGATCCTGATATTCTGATTTTGGACGAGGCGACTTCGGCGCTCGACGCGGAGTCTGAGACCCTTGTTAACAGTGCCCTTGCTGCCTTGCTCCGCGGCAACAACACGACTATCAGCATCGCCCACCGGCTTTCTACTATCAAACGATCGGACACTATCATCGTGCTTGCTCCTGATGGCAAGGTGGCTGAGCAAGGCAGCTATGAGGAGCTCAGTTCCCGCCCTGATGGAGCATTCACCAAATTGATGGAATGGCAATTGAGTGGCGGCGATGCCACTCCTCCTCGGGCACCCGTTAGCCCTGAGACAGAGGAGAAGTTGTGGCAGTTGGAGAATGAGAATGCTGAAGATGAAGCTGAGGCTGAAGAGCCTCGCGAGGAATCTGCTCAGCAAAAGCAATAGAAGGAGTCACTGGGCCGACACTTTCAAGCATTCTTCAGTTCTATATTTACATGTTTTGACGTTTTCGAGCCGCGTAGACCACCGGGCTTGCTTTGTGTCTGAAGGTGGCTCACTCATATATACTTGTTCCTAGAAGGTGGGGCGCCTGACGATGTATGTAATATTTCTGTGTGTTTTTTTTTTTTTTGTATTTTCTATTATTGATCCTGGATGACTGGATAGAGAGATCGATCGTACAGAAGAAGAAATACCCAACTCTCCTCCTCATAACTCACATTTCCTGCCTGTCTTAGTCACCCGAACGTGACCAGCCAGTCGATCATCAATCAGTCAGCCTTGGCACCTCCGACACTCCCTCATGACCTTCACTGCTTGTCCCCTGGCATCGTGACCTCTTCTTCTCATTTCACCGACATACATACTAACGTTATGGATTGATCTTCCTTCTCTCCGGGTCTCTCTAGCTCTTCACCAAGGGACTCTTCTACCACCACAACAATGAACCGCATCCGCAAACAGTTCGCTCCGCAAGTGACGTATGAGGCAATCCAGCAGCCTGCGGAGTCGGATAACGAGGATAACGAGTCCGAGGTTGGTGATGCCGCGTCGACGGCTCCGCAGCAAGCCCCTTTCTCCGCATATGAGTATGCGGTGTTCCTCCTCTTGGGGGTCTCTATGCTATGGGCATGGTACGTTCATTGTGAGCCCGGAAGGACCAGCTCAATGCGTCTCCTTATCGTTCACCAACTATAGAGCGTCCACTTGCTAATCAGCGTGCCTCGATGACTGTAGGAACATGTTCCTCGCAGCAGCTCCATACTTCTATCATCGCTTCCAGACGGACGACTGGGCAGCGACTCATTATCAGCCCTCGATACTGACCGTGTCGACGGTCACGAACCTGGGGTCGTCCTTCATCCTGGCCAAGCTCCAGAAGGGCGCCTCCTACCCCAAGCGGACGGTCGTCTCGCTGCTGATCAACATCGTGGTCTTCACCCTCCTAGCCTTCTCAACAATCTTCATGAAAGATGTCTCCGTGGCCACCTACTTTGCCTTCTTGATGTTCATGGTCTTTGGTGCCAGCCTCGCCACGGGCATCAACCAGAATGGCGTCTACGCGTACGTTGCCGGCTTCGGACGAGAGGAATACACGCAGGCCATCATGAGCGGCCAGGGCGTGGCCGGCGTACTACCATGTATCGTTCAGATCGTCTCTGTCCTCTCCGTCGCACCCAACCGGGGAGGCGGAGGCCATAACGACAACGACCAAGACCACGGCCCTGCTCCCCCGCAGGAATCCTCCAAATCGGCCTTCGCGTACTTCATCACCGCCACCGCGATCTCCTCCCTAGCCCTCATCGCTTTCACCTCCCTCGTCAAACGCCGCTCCCACTATCCCAGCCTCAGTGCTACCAGCACCAGCACCATCGACAGCAACAACAACAACAACGATGACGACGACGACGACACCTCCGAATCCAACTCCAACCCCAAAACCCGATCCATCAGCCTCTGGACCCTGTTCAAGCGCCTTCGATTCACCGCCCTAGCCATGATCCTCTGCTTCACCATCACGATGACCTTCCCCGTCTTCACCGCACAGATCGAATCCGTCCACCGAAACGGCGAGTCAGGGTCATCCTCGCGCCTCTTCGACGCCCCCGTCTTCATCCCGCTAGCCTTCTTCTTCTGGAACGCCGGCGACCTCGTGGGCCGGATGCTGGTGCTGTGGCCGCCGCTCTCGCTGGTGCACCGGCCCTGGGGGCCCGGGGCGCTGCTGGTCTTCGCCTGCGCCCGCGCCGCCTTCATCCCGCTGTACCAGCTGTGCAACATCCGCGGCCGCGGCGCCGTCGTGCAGAGCGATTTCTTCTACCTGGTCGTCGTGCAGTGGCTGTTCGGCGTCTCCAACGGGTACCTGGGCAGTAACTGTATGATGGGCGCCGGGCAGGTCCCCGCCGAGGAGCGGGAGCCCGCCGGCGCGTTTATGGGGTTGATGCTGGTCGCGGGGCTGACGCTAGGGAGTCTGTTGAGCTTCCTGGCTGCGGGCGGGTAAGCGTATTTCTCTATGCTTGGTTGGACTTGGTGTGTTCTTGGGATTATTCTCTAATAGACTATGTGTACTACTGTACTTCCCATTTGCTGTAGAGTAAAATGGGATGGGAGATCGTACCCAATTTATCCGGCTCAGGGTTCGATGGGGTAGGTACGCTCAAAGAGTTGCCGGTCCTACCAACATTCAGCACGCAGTTGACAGCGACACAAGTCCATCTCAGTATTATTTTAGAGATCAGTAGATGCATTAATAGAGAAGATCCACCCGCCACCAACCAAACCCCCCACCCCATCTCAGTTCAACTAATTATGAATACATTGTACATGAAAGTATGCATCATCATCATCAATCACCCCCAGAATACAGGAAGGAAGGAAGCAAGCAGGCGAAGAAGGGCAAGCAGGATAGGCCGGAAAAGCTACCAACATAGCGTTGGAGATAAACCCTTTTGTTCCCCAGGTCCTTTGCTCCCCCATATGCCTTAATGCCTAATGCAGAAGAGTCAAGAAGAAAAGGAAGTCAAGAGAAGATTGTCAGCCAGCTTCGCCGTCGCCCCAGCAGAAAGGTGCGAGACGCGACACGACTAACCCCGACGGGTGCTTCTCTTCATCATCCGTCTCTGTTCCTTCTGCGACTCGCGATCCAGGTACTTGCGCTGCTCGTCCGCAGACATGCCGCGGAGGAGGCGCTCGCGCTCCTCCTTCTTGATCTTCTCGGCGGCGAGGCGGCGCTCCTCGGCCTTTTCGTCCTCGTCCGCGCGGCGCAGCTTCTTGATCTCCTCCTCGCGGGTGTGGCGGATCTTGCGGGTGACCTCGGGGCGGAAGTGGGCGACCGCGACGAGGCGGTCGGCCAGGCGCACGAACTGCGAGAAGAGGGGGAGGGAGGTGGCGTAGCCGGCGGCCGAGGAGGGGAGGGTCATGGCGAGCTGGATGCGTTTACGGGGGGTGGTCTCCTCGATCCTGAAAGAAAAGAAAGTGTCAGTGCCGTGACTCACTTACGTTTCGAGGAGGAGGGAAAGGGTTCATCATACTTCAGGGGCTTGTCGATCGGCTGGTCGGTCACGATCAGGTACTTGAAGTCGGAGCCGGCTTTCTCGACCGCCTGGATCAGCTCGGGGGTCAGGAGCACGTCGGTGATCTCGGCGCTCTCGGTCATGACAGTGACCCAGCTGGGGAGCTTGGGGTTCTCGCGGGTGAACGTGAGCGAGGCATCGTAGCGCTCCTGACGGAACTTGCGCATGTGGTTCTTGTGCACGATCGCCCAGACGAAGCCGTCGTAGGTCGAGTTGTTGACTTTCAGGGACGAGGTGTCGTTCGCGGGCACGGGCACCACGTCCTTCTCCTTGCCGTCGAAGGTGTACGCGGTGGCCTCGTAGATCTCGGTGGGCGCCTCCCAGCTCTCGAAGAGGAAGCTGAACACAGACTCGGTCCAGAAGATCACCGGGTTGTACCGCTTGGGCAGCTTGACGGACACGTCCACGAAGGCCACGTTCTGGCGACCCGTGGCGTACGACGCAAACTCCTGCGCCGACCGCTCTTTGAGCAAGGCATCCGGGGAGGGAGCGTCTTCGGTCTTGGTTCCCTCAAAGCCGACGACGGCGAACTCATTCTGCAAGGCCGACGCGTGCGCTTGTGCCCAGTCGCGGGCCCGACGCCGGTTCTTGCGAGTGCCCCAGAAGTGGAAGATGACGATCAGCAGGATGATCGGCATGACCATGGCTTCCTGCATGAAGTCTTGCGGCGAGGTCCGCTCCCACACCCGGTACCATTTCGTGTACGGGACCGGGCTTCCAGCGCCCACTCCGTGGGTGTTGATGGCCGGAGTGGTGGACGAGCCGGGGACGAGGGAGGCCGGAGAGGGCTCTGGGGCCTCAACGAAGTCGGCGAAATCTAGTGAATGGTTGTGTTAGGAAAGGCTTGCGCTGGGGGTGTTTGTCGGGTCGGTCGGGGCTGGATGGAGCTCAACCCCGGATTTTGGGAAATGGGGTTGCGTGCGTGACTTTACCATCGTCGACCCTGGCCGGGTTGGAAGGCTGCGAGCCTCCAAATAGGTTTTGGAACATGCCCGCCATAACGAGATTTTGGGGGGGGGAATTGAAGAATCCGGGATGTTGACGAGCGAGGATCTGGCGACGTGGCGACGGAAGGAAGCAGACGAGAAGGAAGAGAAGAGGAGGAGGAGGAGGAGGAGGAGGAGGTTTGGCGTTGGGTCGACCGGTTGACGTTTGTCGCAATCGGAGGCTGCCGAGTTCGGCTGGTGGAGCCGCCCTCGGCCTCCAACGCCAGTTTCCACGAGATAAGACTCTCTGTGTATTTACTCCTACTCTTACAACTCAGGTCAATTGCAAGTAAGCAACAGTACAAAAGTAGTAGAATTCCTGGTTGCTAGGATGTTTATTCTCAATTGCGGGCCCAATCCTTGAGACTTGGTTCACCTGCAACAACATTGATACTGATAGGAACCAAGGCGAAGAAGAGAGGGAAATGAGAGAAATATTTACAATGTCAAAGAGAGTCGGTCAGCGAGCGAGGTGGTATCCTTGGAAGAAAGCATGTCGCTCACAGAAGCACAAATTGCACAAAAAAAGCCCACAAAATACACGCCCGATTCTTTTATGGATACAGCCCAATCAATATACAAGTTCTAGCACCCGCTCCAAAGTTCACCCCGCGAGATGATCAGAATCAAAATAAGAAGCAGAGCGGAAAAATTAAAATCAATGTCGTAGCGGTCGTGAATGGCTCCTGAACCTGGAGCCTTGAGGAATGCACTGAGCACAATGGCAGTCCTGATAAGAAGAGAAAAAGGTGAAAGTAGGTGGAGAAGGATGATCATTGACCATACGCCGGAGGAGCATCTTCATGACTTAAACGATCCCAAAAGGCACTGCAATTGCCACCAGGGGTCAGCTTCTCATCGCGCATGCGACGGGCAATTTCCCCAGCGAGTCTTTCGACCAGCGCTTGATCCACCACGCTAGAGGTTGGTTTGGAGTCTGTGAACGGGAGGGCTGTCGCAGGTAAGTTGCGGGTTACAGCTGCTTCTTGCTGCTTCTCGCTCTCCCGGCGAGAGGACATGTGAGGATGCATAGAACTCCGAGGAGTGGCATCCACGTCAACGACTGCAGGATGACGAGGAGCCGCAGAGGATGATGATTCGCCGACGTCCCGTAACATTTCAGTTGCGATATTACGCCGTGGCATAGCAGGTCTGGATAAACTGGCACGATGTCGTTCAGGGATCGTTGGAAGATGAAGGTCGCTGCTTGGCGAAAGTGGGGGCGTCACTGGATCATCGGTCTGCTCGCTCACCACAGGTAGAGGAGCTGAGTAAACCGATGCGGCGCTCGTAGTCTCCGTATAGGTACTCTCACCACTTACGCTGACGGCATCATCTGTCGTCTTGGGGCGACGCAAATCAACGACGCGCTTCTTCCGCTTTCTCGCGTTGGATTTCGAATGACGTCCTGAACCCAGGTTCAACCCGTAGCTGCTGAAAGTGTGCGTGTTCACAGAAGACCTGCTTTGCGCAGATACCATGCTGGCCGTGTCCTGGAAGGAGGAGGACAGGCCCCCAATCTGCGAATGGGTCCTAGAGAGGACTGAGCCAAGCGGTGACGTCACGCCTCCAGAGAGATCGCCCGAGTCGGAAGGTGAAGTCCACGCGCGATATACAACTTCCTGAATAGATGGAGTGAAAAGCGATAGCGTCCGCTGGGAATCCGTGAGTGCAGCGAGTCGGAGAAGGTTCTTTTGGGAGAAGAGAGAGTGGGTCTCAACGGTGGAATCGAGGGAGAGAGAGGCGATTTCCGATTCATCCAAAGCGTTTCCGGACGCATCGACCGGGTCTTGTGGCGGGCTTGCCAAGGGATCTTGACCTGGTCCTTCGCCTGCAGTGTCCGCAGCTTCATTCTGAAGATCTTCACCAGCGCGATATTCCGGAACCCAGAGTCGAAGGGATAGGCGGTGGATGATAGCGGGCAATTCGTCCATGAACAGAATCCGAAGCTGTGCCTCTATCTCTCTTTGCAAGAAGTCGCGCACAAAGGGAATTGAATCGAAGGTTGAGGAGACTTTGAGAGATTCGAGTGGATCATTGCGGAAGACAACAGTGATTCCTTTTTGCTTGGAGAACACTAATATGACGAAGCCGGAGAGTTTGAAATCGGAGAGGGTGATTTGCAAAGGTATGGTGAGAGGAGTTCTGTAATGCAGCGAGTGAAGATGTTAACAATAAATCTTGAGGGTGCGCGAGAATAGAGTTCGCTTGTAGGAGTCACACTCACGCTGCGGCGACGGGCATGGGAGTCGCGAACGACGGTCGGGTGAGAAGATAGGTGTTGAGTGGATTCGCCTGCACTCGCGTCTTAAGGGTGAGAAAGGCGTCTCCAGTGTATGACATCTTGAAAATGCCCCGAAATCGATCCTCCGCCAGATCGCCAATTTCCAGAATCTCTAGTTCAGGCGGGATGGAACCGAGATTCAATTCAGTCACGATGATATCGTCCACGATGATGGGCGGCTTGGGAGATTTGTTCAATGCGGCAGTCAACAGATCTTGGGCACGAGTATAGAAACTCGCGTCCGCCATAAGCGGCGACCAGTTGAAGTTGAACGCCATAGTCGCTCATCGAAAGGATGGAGTCACTTTTTTTTTTATTCAATCGAACGTGCCGACATGGGGAAGGAATACTGAGGGACGGAACTCAGACAGGGTGAAGAAGCTTAGAAGAGCCTATTTATTGGCCCATTACAAGGAGGAGAGCGACAAGAGGTCGGGGTAAGGAGGGGAAGGAGCAGAGTGATGGAGAAGGGGGAGGAAGTATTGGTGGTGGTAGTGGAGGAGGAGGAGGAAATAGGTCGATGCGCCGATAAGCCGACCGTGAATGGGGAGGAGACTGAATAAAAATGGATGGGCGGATTGAAAGGAAAAAAAGACGAGCGGCGAACATTTCCCGAGGGTTTGCTGGCTCAATCCGGTAATCCTGCGGCGCTCGCGTGATCGACGCGACGGACCTTTGTAGCTCTTGTTGTAGCTTCCCCTTCTACCTAAAGGGGTCTCAAAATCATTTCAAACATAAGAATGATATTGATATTACATCCCTGGAAGGTTTTGACCTGATGCGACCCAGCAGCAGTGTTTGCGACCGCAGCGCTGTGTGGTGTCTTGTGTCTATGAAGAAGCAAGAGAAAAAAAAAGCTCAGCAGCCAAAAGGGGAAGGGATAACGTCACTCCATGTCGGCTTTTAGTTTCTTTCTTCCGTTCTGCTCCGAAGACTCAATTGTTATGTTCAATGGGGATTTATGAACAAATGAATCCTGATGACTCTTCTTCTAATTACTGGATGATCTGCTGACCTGTTCCTCCTTCCATCCGTGCATCCTTTGCATTAAACCATCCTTATTCCCGCTTCTCCTGACTGGATCTTCACATTCCAAATGAAAGGCCCGTGCTGGGAAACAGAGTGGGAATTTTTCCTCATTCCCGGTCCACCCGTCCCTGTGAAACTCCCGGCTAGCCCGTGTCAATGCTATTTACAGAGTACGGGTGTAGATTCATTGATATCCTTAACTAGTTACTGTCTCAAAACACAGTACTGAACATGCCCCGCCACCTTACATTGCCCGAAAAGGAACCTTCAGACTATGGTGCTTCAGATCCAGTTCAAGGTTTGTATGGAAGTTGCCCGACGGGTTCTAATTCCTGCCCGCTGGCTTACATGCTGAGGTAGGCAACATTCGCAGTCGCAACATTCGCAGTCTGACCTGCAATTCAGCCTGCCCTTTTTCTTGCTAGACAATAAACATGGTGTACTCCGCAGTTGCTCTTGAAATCAAGCCCATAGACAGTTTTGTTGTTTCATGCAGCAAATAGTTCTTGTATATGTTTGCACACAGACAGAACTATAGACGCAATAATATATGTATTGTACTAAAAGATTTCATCATCGACAAGCACGAATTGCAACCCTTTTCTCTATCTACACTTTCGAAATGACCGCTCTCCTTTCTCTGCTCGTAACCCCTTATATTCATTTCCTACGTACCTCCTTTTGTACCTTTTCCAGTGAGTATGAGACTATGAATGCCAGGTCCGCTTATATAATCTGCTGTCTTTCCTTCTCCTCAGCAACGACTGGCACTAAGCCTAAAACGGGAAGAGAACAATAAGCTACCTCCGCGGTATGCCAGTGCCGCTGCAGCTGTCTCTTTCGCATCAACGCAATCGATAACCTCCCAGCGTCCCTCACATTAGCGGGCAGCTAGCCCACCGACCATCATCGAAAGTCTCCTCCTACTAGTCAAGCACAACGAAGCCGCCATGTTTCCGCCTTCCTCCCCGGTCGCTGCGACCGGTGACCAACAGCAATGGATGCCCCGAGTGGCAACCAGAACCCGCACCGTCGCTCAGAGAAAAGTGTACGGAAAGAGGAGGGCAGACGCCCCGAGGGCTGTGCTCGATCAGCGAAGCCCCGCCAAGGCTCCGGAGTGGTTGGAACCTAAGAAGCACGAGAAAGAGAGCGGCGAGGATCCGGTAGAGGGTGTGCGGGTGAAACTAGCGGAGGTGGCGATCGAGGAGAAGAGCACGCTTATGGATCTGACAAGGAAGGGGAAAGCTGAAAAGACGAGGAAGAAGACCTCAGAGGACAGATCTGACGTCGTGCAGTCAGTTGAAGAAAATGAGGTGAAGCCTACATCTGCTGGGGATCGGTCCGGCCGAACTTCGAAACCACAAGATGAGCCGGAAACCGCGCAAGTCCAATCGAAGGGCACCGGCACACCGGAGAAAAATACCCGACAAAAAGCGAAGCCACGGTACGACATGATGGTGGAAGTCCGAGTCAGTCCTAAGATCCCGGCAGAGCGAGCCCTACGACGGAACAAGACGTGCGAAGTTCCCGCAGAATCTGAGCCGAGGGCATCACGAAGGAACAAGGACAAGCCAGTAGCTCGGGTGTCAACTGGCTGTGTTACGGATGAGAAGGCCAATGAATATGTTCGCCCGATCTTGAATGAAGCGCTGTCCGCGGCTGCGGCGCAGAGTGTCCAGAAGTTTGCCTCGTGGGCTGGCCGGGCGGGGAACCTGTTAGAGGTGGTCAAGATTGCTGAAGGGTCATATGGAGAGGTCTACAAGCTTCGATTACGGGAGGAGGTGTGCAAGAAGGAGATGTCCAGATCCAAGCTCGCCCGCCTGAAGGCTTATGGCGACGGGGTCTTCAAGGTTGTGCCCCTGCGGGCTCAGAGTGGGCCAGGCTCGAAGAAGTTCACCAGCATTGATGAGATCGTGTCCGAAGTCAAGATGCTCAAGTATCTGGATCCGATCCCCGGATTCGCTCGCTTCAGAGAAATCCACGTGGTTCAGGGCCGGTTCCCTGATTCGTTCCAGAGAGCCTGGGACCACTACAAGAATACCAAGGACGACTGCTGGAATCCGAACCCATCCAGTAAAAGGGCCTATCCCGACTCGCAGTTGTGGGCGATTGTGGAAATGGATGATGCTGGCTGCGAACTGGAGAAGTTCGCGTGGACTTCTATCTTCCAGATTTACGATATCTTCTGGGGAGTGGCAATGGCGCTTGCTCGGGCGGAGGAATACGCATTGTTCGAGGTAAGCCTTTGATCTTCTGCCAGCCACAATCAAGTCTGACATCCAATAGCACCGCGACCTACATCTAGGCAACGTCTGTATTCGAAGTACTCGGCCAGGGGGGTGCATGGATCCACCCACAAACAAGGAGATCATGGATCAGTCGTACAAAAGTGGCTTCGGACTTAGCTCCCTCGAGACGACCATCATCGACTATTCTTTATCTCGCGCACAATTGCACCTCAGCGAGGCGGCCGAGGAACATGAGATCGCCTCGTCAGATCTCGACAAGAAACAAATCTTCGATGCGATCGGACGGGATGAAGATGAGATCATGCTCAGAAACACATACCGATAGTGAGTTGCACCGGAACAACCTCGCACGCCGGCATCACAAGTGCAAGATTAGTTGACTATCTTGACCTTCAGCATGCGCGCCCAGCTCTATCACGGCGAACCCCTCAAGACCGAAAAATGCCCCGACATCACGGGTATCTGGGCCGAGTACGCCCCTCGAACCAACCTCGTCTGGCTCCTCTTTCTCCTCCAGTCCCTCCTCAAGAACAGAAAACCCGAGATCCCCTCGCTCTCAGCACCCCGTCAACCCCTGGCCCCATGCTCACCCAACAAGGGCCTCAAACCGACCGCCGCATCCAAGAATAACACCTTAAAACCACAAACGCCGCCGACGGTGACCCCTGTTCACGCTGATAGTGTCTCGGACCTGAAACAGACGCTCGAGAAGAGACTGACCGCCGTGCTGGAGCTGCTCGACCTCGAACACGGACATGAAGACATGTGCTGTGCTGCGGATCTGGTCGCCTACGCGATTGACTCGCAGTGGCTGGATGAGCAGGACTTTTTCTGATTTCTGGTTTTGCTTCTTCATTGTTCCGCTTTGCGAGGGCGCCGGAGGTTTTATTTTTACGGTTTTGTTTCCTTCTGCATGATAACATATAGATGGCAGGGGCGTTACGAGCGGCATCAGCGGCATCAGTTCTTTGGGTTAGAATATACCACTTGGCATCGCTGAACCAATCATGCGGTTTGGATGGAATTATAAGTATGAGACGTGAGATCTAAACAGGTCAAGGCTTGGCTTGCAGGATTGAGTAACTGGATCTAGCTGTTTTGGTCGCGCGTAGAGAAGTAACAATGCGTTGATTAGAGCACGCTCCTAATCTGCTGCTCAAGTTGAGGTTCTTTGCCATATACTCTGTTGGGACTCTTGACCGGCGAATACCCGTAGAGCGCACAAGTCATGTTGTTCTTATAAGACCATTGGTAATAGCTAACCCTCGAATTATACCTAAGCTTTGTAGATTTGAAGATCTGAACCCATATATCTATCTATCCTATACTCTACATCTATCTACTCTATCACGGGAACCAAGTCCTACCGTACAGTATGCCCCCCTTTCCGGTTGTAAGCCACCATGATATCCCCGACCATTTACAATTTTCCATAGACCTTAACCCTCTCGTCGACAGGCTTCTGCTCTTTCGGCCCCGGCGCTCCCTCGGGGCTGCCAAACACCAACTGTGCACTCAGCTTCCACTCCTTAGGCACATTCCACGCCTCCGCCACCGGGGCATCGATCAGGGGATTATAGTGCTGCAGGTTGGCGCCGAACCCCAGAGCCTCTAGACCAGTCCACACTAGACGAAGGCACCGAAAGTCAGCCGGCCGGCCCATCGACCCACGAGCTACCCTTTACTGCCGCAACAGCAGCGCACAGGGAATAAGAAGAGGGGGTGTCAAAGCAGGAAAAGGAGAGCACAGGAAAAAGAAGCCTACAGAAATACTGATGCATAGCATTCGAATGTTGGGCCCATGGTTCAAACTGATCTTTGTAGAGCGCAAACTTCTCGGAAAATGGCTTGATGTGCGCCGGATCTTCGTAGAAGAGGACCTATCAACAGAAAAAAAAAAGTCAGGGACCCTCTCTCACTTCAGCTCACATCCAAACCAAGAGCAGATAGAGAGGGCGAGGGATGGGAGCGGGAAGGTGGGAACAGGAACTTGGACTCACCGTCCCAACCGCAGCTTTGAATCCCTCCAGCTTGGGCAAGGTTTGATTCTTCCACACCTGCTCGGGCACTGCGCCCGTCTTGACCAGGTTCTGGAAGACGCCGATCACGAGGTCCCACAGCCGCTCGTGCTCCTTGTGCAGGACGACGACCACGCGGGTGGATTGCGTGTTGAAGGCACTCGGGACGTGCAGGATGGCTTGCTGCACGAGCTCCTCGATCTGGGCGTCGGGGACGGAGTGGTTGCGGCCCAGTTGGTAGACCGTGCGGCGGTTCTGGGCAAGAGAGATGAGGGATTGTGCGCTGGGAGTCTTAGCTGGGGCAGAGGAAGAGGACGAGGACAGTCGGATTGTGGTTGCTGGAGTCAACAAGGAGTTGGTGGAAGCGGTGCGGGGGATGGTGAAGCGCACTGCGGGGGTGCAGCGGCGGAGGAGGAGTCGGGGCGTAGCCATTGTGTGGTATATGCACAGGTCTTCGATTGATGGACTGGAATGCTAGGGTCAGTTTGCGCTCTCCTCTTGTTTGGGAATGTGGTGCCGTTCTTATAGTTGTGCCGGATTTACAGTATGCGGATTGCGGAGTCGAGCTCCGACGGGATCTCGTATTCGCGCGGAATTGCGGAGATAGGCTTATTAATAGCGTCATTGGTTCAGGTACGGAGTACGAAATTACCAATGAATGGCATGGCCCCTGGGGTTCTGGGCCGATTAGGTAAGGCTGATTCAGGATGACAATATGGAGCTCGTGTCGGGGGAGGGGTTTTATCATGTCTGATAATCTGTACAAGTAAGTCTGCGATTGCATTTTCTCGATTAAGCTCGTGGGCCATCGTTGTTGAAGTCCATTGTTTTCGGATGCAGGATGACATCATTGTCTGCAACTCCTATACCTTTGTACTCATTCATACTCAACGCCGTGAGGTCTTTATGATTATTCGACAATCCTCTACCCTTATATACTTCGTAAAGTATGTCTGTTGGAGTAACTTCCGCAGGTTATCCATTAGTATCCATGATCATGGATCTATGATTCAAGCCTGCCTTTCCTATTTCGGACAACTCGCTTTTTGGCCAGGGAGCTTTGTATGGCTCCTTCCCAACCTTTTGGCAGCTCACGACAACCACAGTGAATGATAATCTGCTCAAAGGAAGCCAACTTAGTGCTCTCCCTCTGTCTAGTGAGTTTAGTGAAGCCATCTGGATAACTCCATCGCATTCTTACTGATCTCAATTATGTCGCTCATTTTTAGGACTACGAAGTCGCCCTTTCTCCTCTTCTTCTTCATTCTAACTACAATTCTCTTTGACATCAGCCCCGTGTGCCTGGCCTCGAATGAGGCAGCACGAGATGTACTCTACGGAGCAGTCATCACTCATTGTGCGGTTCCCGGCACCGTGGCTCTCACCTTCGATGACGGACCAGGCATGTACACTCCGCAACTCCTCGACCTCCTCAGCGAGTACGGTGCGCGCTCCACCTTCTTCGTCAATGGCTACCAGCTCTCCAATCACCACGACATCCTGGTCCGCACCCTGAACGAAGGACACCAGATTGGTTCTCACACGTAAGCAAGAAAGCTTGTCTCCTTCCCTTTGCGCATCACCAAGAAATACCGAGAAAGCAAAGACTGAACACGAGATGTAAACTCAGGTACGATCACGCTCGTCTGTCCGCTTTACCATACAGCGAGGTTATCGAACAAATGCGCCGGCTGGAAGCAGCATTATACGACACTCTCGGCGTGGTTCCGACGTACATGAGACCGCCCTATCTCGCCATCAATGGAGAAGTCCTCGCCGCGATGGGCGAACTGGGATACCATGTGATCAGCACAAGCGTGGATACCAAGGACTATGCGCACGACCATCCGGACTTGATCCCGAGGAGCTTCACGAGATTCCTGGAGGGTCTGAATGCTGGAGGTTCGGTGGTTTTGGCCCACGACACCCATGAGCAGACCGTGGCAACGTTGACACGGGCGATGCTGGATGAGATTGTAGCCAGGGGGCTCATTCGTAAGTAATATATAAGTCTAGTTAGTGCTTTGCTTTGCTTTGCTGCAGCAAATGCTAATGTCACGGGTGCTGGTTCTAGCTGTCCCGGTGGGAGAATGCTTGGGAGACCCGGAGTATAATTGGTATCGTTAATGCCACGAGCAGATCAAGGCAGTCTGTGGACGCCCACTTGGCTGCATTTCTTTACTTAGTTCCGTTCTGTAATGCATGTTTTAGTCTTCATGCTGTGTTCGGTATTTGGTTCCATAATAAGGTACATCACAGTGACAATGTCGGGAACTGAGAGGAAGCCTTAGAGGATTAGAGCCGGTCAGGCTGCGCCTTTAAGGAAACAGGATATCGGACTGTCTCGGGATGAACTTTCTTTCGTCACCCCTTTATTATTTGTAGAGCTAATTTTTGATATAGATTTCAGTTGGCTCTTGACTCTTTTACATGAGTACCCCAAAGAAACGACATTTCACGCGCGCATTCACACCTCACTAGTAGACCAGGACATACTAGAGGGGTCCATGTACGGTGGAATCATGTCCCCCTACGGGGAAGGACTGGAATAGCTACCTGTAACTTTATATCATTAAATTCTACCCATCTAGGTCTAAACTTTTGAATGTACAGTACAACAATAGGTGTCACGGGAACCGACTCAGAACTTTTGATGACGAAAACTCGAACAAGTATAATATATGACTTTCTCGGTGTACTGCAATAGCAAGGTCTGTTAGCAGCTGCCTCCATGCCAAGCATACTGCATGCCAGGTTTTGGGGGGGGGGGTATTCACGCAACTGAGTTGGGCTGGGCCTCGATCCGAAGTCACCTGGACGCCCCCTGACCGGCCCTCCGTCCGGGAGGGAAATTGTACTGCGCGTCGAGATCGTCTTCCTTGGCTGCCATCAAGCCCCGCCATTGGCTGGAGCGGAAAGGCTTCATTGCCTGCTGGAAGGATTGCTTGATCTTCGTCGCGACGCCGGCCATCTTGTGGAATTTGTTGAAGGGGGATTGTTGATGGGATAAGGGTTTATGTGTATGTTTATGTATGGATGTATGGATGTATGGTTGTGTGTATGGATGTGTGTATGTGTGTATGGATGTATGGATGTATGGATGTATCACTGTAGGTGTACTTGTATAATGTATATAGGTATCGCTAAATGCTGGGAAGAATTGTACTGTGAGGTGAGGAGTAGTGTGCAGAAACGCGGAGAGATAATGAAGGCACGAAGGCTGGAGAATACTTCCGAGGACGAGGGACTGAGAGTGACGAGTACGCGGCTATTAGAACCGCTGAGTGGCCATAGTGGTTGTGTTGCTATCAATGGACTCGGTAGATGAAGTTGAGATCGTGACGTCAGGGGTGAGATCTGGCATGGTCGTTTACGGTTATGGTTGGGGAGGGATCGGAGGATGAGAGGATCGCGAAGATGTAAGAATTGAACTCTCGCTAAGATGATTGGTAATGGCAGCTCCGCTGATGAGGTATCTTGCGAAGACAGAAAAAAAAGTGATGCAAAATGATTGTGTTGCGTGGGGATTGAAGCTCTAAACCATAAGTTCTTGCTTATCGGTTCATTGGTCTTGTGGTTTGTTGTTGTAATCAAAAAAGCTTGTAGCCATTGTTGTCGAGATCCAATATTCCTGGGTATAGGATGACATCATGACATCCTTTTCCTGGTAACATGATGGCTACTTTATCTCATGGTCATGGATGCAAACTATCCAGTGAGCTGAGAGTCATAGCTACATCTATTCGATATGTGCGACAGATAATGGTCATGTCGACCAGAGTATGATGTATTTCTTTGGATAATCAGACTGAAAAACAATCTGAGTGATGTCTGATTGATTAGTGTACACGCAGAGAACGCCCATTACATGCTCAGCATCAAACATAACATCGGGCCTGGATGCAGCGCATTACTTCCCTTGGAAACCGAGAGACAAGTTATGTAGAGGCTGATAAAGAGAACAATACTTTACTAATTTAAAGGAGCCATGATGGGGGTAAAAGGCCGTTTCGTCGTTGTGAAGTTGAAGGTAATGAATGTGATGCTGTATCGCTCCGTAAGATGGGTTCTACAGGCCCCAGCCCGGTGCCGACATAGACCTGGACTCGTAGTGGATGAAGCTTGGTCAAGTAATTGCTGTCCAGCTCATATCGACGGTTGAGAGTGATTGCGTGGGCCTTGTAGTGCACACTCATTCTCAGATACACTGCTCCTCGCTCCCATGTACCAGCCCTCATCATTCAGGCGATGTTCCAAGTCAAGCCAATACTTCGCCTTGCCTCCCGCCCCAGTCTTGAGATCTAGGTCTCCGAGGCGTACTTCGATCCGACTGGTCTCATCTTTCGGTATCTGCATCGAGATTAGCTTAGTGGGTGTGGCAGTCCAGCCAGGAAAAGCAGAAAAACACACCCTGATAAACATTGTACAGTCGCGGAGAGTCATCCCGAGCGATTTTTCGACCGAGGTGACAGGAGGACCATGGAGCCCCACGTCGCACATGCTCTTCTGGTGTGCTAGGAGTTCCTGCAGGGTACTATTCCGATAGAGTACCTTTGCCAGCCGGGCCTGATCTTTGCATCCCTTGACGAACCGGGCCGCTCGGAGAACATTCTCGAATCTGTCGCTCACCAAGTCCAACGGACAGAATGATGCTTCCTCGGACTTGCCGGTTTTGCGCGCCTTGTGATTCTTCATTTCGCGGAGTGCGCATGTCCGGCACCGTCGAGAGTTAGCTGGGGCTGACGGAGATTGGGCGAGCCACTTAGGCTTCAGCTCGGATAACGTGGTCCCAGGACTAGCGAATGTGGTCATGTCAGTTATCAGAAGCCCGAATGTCTCTGTCGTAGAGAGATATACGCCTTGTCGTCTTCTGGGACGCTGCCCGGTTTGCTCCGCCGCTAGAAGCTGCTCATTGCATAGTTGAACCAGTCCTCTGGGAAGACAGACAAGTTCCTGATCGACGAGCTCTTCCGGTTTGAAAAGAGGCCGAATGCATTGGTCGAAGTTTCGTGCAATCTCTTCATAGGGGATTCCTGAGCTTGTGTCTTTCCGAAGACGAAGCAGCTTTCCTTTGAAGCTGGCGGGTATACTATAACAATCCGTTACGCCTGATGGCAGGTTGGAAGACACGGTTATCGGAATATCTTTAGGATTTCGCCCCTTATGAGTTTGGGTAGAAAAGAGGATGCGATAGATGATATTGGCGCCCCCTTCCGCAAGATAGACGAGCTCGGCCCCTACCGGGAGCTCCAGCATATTGGGCTTTGGCATTTGTTGAGGGCTCACGGAATCTGTGGTCAAGGATGATGAATCAAGCAGGAACTCATATCCATACAAGTAAAAAGTTCCTCGGACTTCCTACAACGCACTTTAAGATGGTAGCGAAAGACCAAGGGGGGATGTTCAGCAACGATGTATAGAGTCACGTGGTCGAAGTAGTTCCTTCGAGGAAGAAAAAGTCCGTAGGGCGCATGCGAAGATATGTAGCAGTTAAGGTTTAAGAAGAGCAGGCTGCGATGTATGAGAATTCCGATCTCTCAAAAAGGGCAAGAGACCTTCCCAAACCCTGCTGTACGACTGTTCGATCCGGCAGCAAGTCAAATAACGTGGGCAGACAGGAGTAGCTGATCTATGAACTAGTGCAATAATCGCTTGTCCCCAGGCTCTCACGTCCTTGTGTCAGTACTGAGCCTCGTTAAACCCAGCCAATTGATGTGCAGGCGATGGAGAATAAGCTGTTGAAAATGAGATCTGATCGCTTCAAATCAGGCTCAGGTGATCTTGCCTTGGAAGTAAGCCTCTGCTCGTTGATTCGTCCGTGAAGGAATGAGCCACTCCAAATATTGATGGAAAAGCCCCCAGCCCAATTTCGTTTAGTGCAAGGGCAACTACTTAGTACTTTGTAGATCTAGGACCTGAGCCTTGTGCAGGGATTTGAATCGCATCAGCCACCGTGGCGGTCGGACTTCCTGTTCTTAGGCGGAAACACTAAGCTTGCAATTCCTTGATCAGCCCTGAAGTTGAATTCAGGGAGTGCAGATCTGCTGACACTAGGCGCGAACCGGCCACCAATATTTGGAAATGGTGATAGAAGCAGCTAGTTTCGAGGAGAGAAGATATTGGACTATCACAGCACCGGTAAACCCAGCTGAGCGCAGGGCGTCGGGCACACGGACGTCGGTAGGAAACCCGTGCTGCCTTGGTTGCTGCACAATAGCTGGCGATAGGCGGTCAAAAATGGATAGCAGGAGGTGATTCGTATTCAATAGATTGGTCGACAATGTCACGAAACCTGCCTAGTTCTCTGCTAACTCCTGCGAGCAATATACTCCAGGGACGGCTAACGTCGATCTATCGGGCTGAGCCAATGGAGGAATGAATGGTCGATTGAACCGGTCGGCCAACGAGGCTGCGTCACACCCGAGTAGAGTAGTAGGCAAACCCACCAGAGTCGAAGTAATTCAAAGAAAGAGGAGAAGGGAAGGAGATTGAAGGAAAAGTGCTAGTTATAGTCCACGATATATTCTCAATAGTGCAGTGGGGGTACGAGGCGACCGAAATGAGGAGTTGGCGAGGATTTAGAGACGCGAGGTGAACCGTGGTTCATTTGAAAGCTCAACGGACCGATTTTGGAGGCATCATATATTGACCCTGGAAGTGAAGTGCAACTCACCCTGGAGACATTTTCGAGACGTCTTCCCTTGTCAACAAGCCTCCAAAGGCTCTCGCCAATCAGTAATTCGACTAATTGTTTGCTTCGGTTCCTTACTCTCCATGCAGCCCCATTGGGGTCTCTGCTTGTCACTTTTGCTTTTGATTGTCTTCCTTTTTTTTCTTTCCCGGATGGTCGCCCCGTTCGGCATTGGTATCGGCCCCAGGATAGTTCATTGCATATGCAACGATACGCACCGTAGTGAGACCTAGTGGTCCTCAATTCTGATGACGAGCGAACAGTGCAGAGAGAATGACAAGATGACGGGCGAAGTAAGAGAGACACTCGTCAAAGCGCACAAATAAAGGATTGCTAGTCTATCCAGTCGAGTCCGTAAATTCCGACCAGAAGTGTTCAATTTGGACAGATACAGTTAACTGATGCACCGTATGATTATTGACTCCCCTACGGAGTGGGAAACGAGATTTTGATGAGTTGTTCGCGGCAACCCACAGACCGGTGGTGCATGGTTGGCGATGCGCGTCTTATGTATGTACAATGCTAGAACCGGGTGGACTAAGAATTGCTCATCGGGTCTAGAAGAGAGAATATCTGATGGAGTCAGTCAGGGATGTAGTGAGGGAGTAGTCCTTGTCAAGGTCAATGTTCATATGTTAATGTCGATGAACGGAACGGGGGAAGTCGAAAACGTGGGAGATGATCTTCCCCAATTGCCCCTCCGCTGTTCGGCCCCGCGCTGAGGGAAGAGCAGCGCGAGAGAAACAACAACTACTACTACTTTCATCCAACACCAGAGGTCTCACCATCGTCCACGTCTACTGGGAAACCAAGCTTAGGCTTTTGAGATATTCGTTTGGCTTGCAACAGATAATTGTACATCTTCCGTGAACCTTCAACAATCAGGCTAATCTGAAAATGGACAACATCGCGTCCATCCCAACTCCCCCGCATTGCACGGCGGACTTCTGTTTGATTCCTGTACGTACACTACAGACTACCTTTGTCGCATCGATTTGCTGTACCTGTGTCCCACATTAGCAGGCCGTCTTCCGTCATCATCGACAAGGTATCACCAGCAAGCAGTGCTTATCTCCATGCATTCATGACATGCCTCAGTTTGACGGGACGACTCCGACTGCTTCATGCATATCCATCCATCCATCCATCATATCCCCATCCATCCGTCCACCCACTCACCCATTCTATTCCACGCTATCTTGCCAACACCATACGGAGTGGACCCCCTGAGCCTGAACACTAAGCTGCAGAACGAACTCCCCTCAGTGAGACTAACCCATCCGCGCAGATCGGCACCTCGTCCCCATCAGTGTCCGCCCAAATCGCCGATGTCCAACGCCTAGTCGAGAAGTCGGGCCTCAAGTTCGTCATGCACTCCGCCGGAACAACCCTCGGTGAGTTGCGCAGCTGTGTCCCTCCTAATCTCATTTTTCTTTTGCCCAATGCTTTCTTCTCTTTCCGACTCGTGCACGTAATCATCCCCTCCGTTCTTGGCTAACTGAGGACCCCCAACTCCCTGTGCTCCTTTTGCGGGCCGGGGGGTTGCGGCATCGACTTAAACAGAGGGACCGTGGGACAAAGTTCATCAGGTCATTGGGCAGGCGCATACGATCCTGCATCAGCAGGGTATTGTGAGGATTCAGACGGACATTCGGGTTGGATCAAGGTAGAACACACTCTTTCTTCCCACTCCTATTTCTCGTCTGGTTATAGTTACTTCGGTCTTCGACTTCCCCCTATGATGTCGCATTTTCGAACTGGGAATCGCTCCTAGAAAGGTGATGTCTTATTGGATGGCGTTGGCTAATGTATCATGTCTCCCTGCCGCAGAACCGATAAGGAGCAGTCCTTCGAGGATAAGGTGAACAAGGTCCGCTCCTTGCTTGGGCAGCAGTGAGCATCGGTTGTAAGGGCTTTTGTGGTCGAGTTCAATCTGGCTTACGACCGACAGATTGCCTGCACCTGTCGGGGCATGGAAGATACGGATGGACGGACAAGGAAGGTAAATTCATATATATAAGTACAATGATTGACAAGTCGTTAAGATCCATCAAACAAAAAACGCCGTCTCTATGTGCGGTGAAATGTGAACCATCATAAAGCGAAGGAGCGTCATGAGAATCATCCAGATATCACAAAGATTGAAGGAGCGCCGAGCTTGCATTTATGCATGCCAATGAGAGAACTGCAATGCTGCTAATTCGCAAGGAAAGGGAATGAAAAAGAGAACCCAATAAGAAGGCAGGGGGGAGGGAAACGCGTGCGACAGACTTTAGAGAGCAATCCCACCACCCAACAAGCTGCCCCAGTCCCCGCCGGCCCAGATCCATTCCCCCATGCTGGGATTCGCTCCGTCCATTGCTTTCTGAACCGTCTCCACCAGTCCCTTGAACACATTCGAGTACGTGGAGGCGGAGCTCGTTTGAGTAGTCGACGTGAGATTGGCGCGTCCGGTAGCGTCGGTGACATTGTTCAGACTGTCCACCGTCGATATGGCGGGTCCCTTGTTGAAGAAGTCCACCAGGATGAAAGTCGGTTGGCGGCCATTGTAAGCACTCTTACACTTCTTCGCAGTATCGCCGAGATTGCCCGTGCCGCCGGAGGGGGCATTAGTCGTGCCCACATAGCTTACATTCGGGTACTCAATGTCAAGGATGGTAGTCTGGTAAAGAAAGTGATTCATAAAGGGAAGCCGGTTGGAAGAAAGTGCAGCAGACAAGTCATTCTTCACGGTCGTTGGACGATCGGGTGTACAAGAGAAATTCGACGCCGAGGTCACATCATAGGGGTTCTCCCAGAGGTAGGTGAACTCGTCCATCAGGTATGGAGCTACCGTGTTGCTCGAGGCGCTTAGCGATGCCACAAATGATATCAACCGAGTACCGTCGTTAATCAGCTCCTGTAGAGTGGGCCACGAGCTGGGCGCGGAGGTCTGTGAGGTAGGCGTGTAGGTGTAATTCCCAATGCCCGCTGTCTCATACTCCGAGTGAAGATCCGATGCTGTTGCGTCGTCCGAGTTGACCAGCAGGACTGTGACCACTATGCAGCCATGAAATATTAACTCTCCTGCCTTGTCACTGGGTCAAGGATTTCCAACGGAGGATGCGCGACTTACCATCGTTTGGGTTGGAGTCTAGCCATGTTTTGATCTCCGATAGCCATGTGCTTAACTTGCCTGCATCTAGATAGTCACAGTTGGTATGACATAAGTGCCACTCTGAATCTGACTTGTGCACTTGCGCCGTTACGAGACGTACGCCCGCCTCAAGTTGTAGTGTCGTGTTGTAATATCTGCGCGACTGTCAGTCAGCTCCAAGCTTGAGTCGCGTATGTGGTTCTGCGACTACTCACTGATCTCCAAAGGTTGAGTAATCGGTCGATGCGTCCCGGAGAAACGGACTATCATGTGCGCCTAGATGAGTGATCTCACCGTAGGATTTGGAGCACAGGGACGGCGAGTTGTTGCATGCTGTCTGTCGCGAATGCAGAGCTTTTGCAGCTGCCAAAGGGGCAAGGGCCAGAATTCCCAGTCCTCGCATTGTGGTTGTGCAGGCGACTCTCGGGCGATATGGAGTTTAGGTGTAAAGAGACAAATATGTAGGCAAACCGCCGCAAAATGACCTAGGGAATTAGGACGATAACTATAGAATTGATGGAGGAGCGTAGGGATGGCAAAATTAGACGTCAACGGTCAGAGAAGGGTCACGATCCAATGCTAAAGATGAGAGTAGATATGTATAGGAATGATGCAGCAAGAAGAAACAATGACCCCACTTGCGGAACAATAGAAGAGGTTCGTATTTATTTATTGACTGACAGGTTAGAAAAAATAAAAAGAGGGATAATGAGCAAGCTACGACAGGGGGATGGGATGTGGTACTCATGTAAATCAACGAGAGCACGGTCACTGAGAGAGTTTAGAATCTTGCGTTGATCTGCTTATTGACAGTGGGCCAGAAGGTCTAGGCAGGCCATACAGCAGTTGGGATGTCATGGGTAGCCATGAAAAGATGGAGAATGAACGGGAAGTGTGGCCGCCTATTCTTAGCACAACAGTGGCTCAGCCCGGTCGGACGCGCCATCCCATGTCTTTGTTTGTTGGGTTTGTTTGGGATCTTACGTTGCCCCGGTCGCTTCACGTGCCACCCACCCCCCTTAAGGCATCCAAGTTTCAGGCTTTGTCTGGCCTTAGAAGCTACAAGTAGATATGTGATATATTCGGTCTATTGGGGTCTATATACACTGTCACTGTCTGTTGATACATTATGACCGACTCTGAATGAAAGCCGGTCCCCGCAGTTTTTGCTCCCTCCAGAGGGTTTTACGTGTCCTGCGGTGCGACATCTTGGAACTCGGTGGATTAATTAGTCGAAACACATCGATGTGCTCTCGGCCTGCAAACAAGGATGGCTCTCCCCAGACTCGGCTGATATCGCCGAGTACCTTCTCAAGAGTATAAGGATTTTCTCGTCGCAACATGCGGTTCATGGGGCGGCTAGACCGCCGGTTTCGTCCAAAGACAACAGCAAGCCGTTGCCGACACGCGCGGCTGATGCTGCTTACCTGAAGCTCAACACCGCTACGCTCCAGCTCACGCAGGAGAGCGAGGCCCCGTATCCATGGAATCAAATCATCGACCGCGTGGTAGCGATGGATACTCGGAGAGACTCGCTTGCGGAACCCCCAATGCACGAGGGCTTCCTGGACGTGGCGGCTGAATATTGTGCGGAGCATGTCAGCATTGTGCCCCGAAGCTGGATAGGTCCGACTATGTGGTGCCGCGCTTGATCCTGATATGATGTCCAGAGGTGTATCCTTCTGCGGCCCAGTGAAAGAATAATGACGGGCTAGCCAAAGACAACACTTCCGAAGCTCAACCCAGGAGTCTGTCTGGCCCAGTCGTTTGATCAACTCAATCCAGAGTCTGGCAGATACAGTTGACCCCAATGGAATGGTGCGTTGTAGAACACGGAAGACGAACACCACTTCAATTTGCGGTGGCCGGTCAGGAACTCGGATCGGTCCAGACCCAGGCCGTCGTGGGGTCAAAACATGACTGATCAGTAAGTCAATGCTTGTCTTCGTGAGGGGCTCTCCGCGCAAAGCTAGTTCATCGACTATTTTCGATGCCAACTCCCACTCGCCCGCTCTCAGATGTTTTCGAAAATGGATGTTGAACATGTTTGGTCCTTCGTCGGCTATTTCGCTGAGGATGGCTAGGGTCAGGTTGTAGCGACGCCAGTCGTGACTGAGGTAGTGAGACAACAAGAGAGATTCTTGAACACGCATATCCTCCAGCATGTCGGGATGTTGATCACTTCGAAGTAGATCTGTCAGAACGATACCACGATTTTCTGTGGCTAGCTTGCGGACAAGGCGAGAAAAGATCGAGTCCCCGATGGAAATACCTGCTTCCTGCAGAAGTCGAAGCCTTTCCAGTAGATCGCGGCTGCCATGCGCTCTCACGGCCATTTCCCGTAATGATTGTGGTCCAATAGAAGTAGCACCAAACATCTTGAAGCCAGAGAGAATGAGTTCAAACTTCAAAGCGTCCGTAGCGAATAAGCGCGCGCCCAGGTCGTCCTTGATGGGCTTTTCGTCATGCAAGGACTGTCTTTCGCTAGGGCTCGCCTGCGGTCTATGCTCAGAATTCTCAATTTCAGAGTCTTTAAATTGAATGTCTTCAACCTCACTAGGGAATTGACGGTCGACATAAGCTCGGAGCTTCTGCCGGAATGATTGTAGGCCACGCTTTTCCGCAGCGTGGATCAATGGCTCTATGTCTTGGTAGGAACGGGGATGATCGCCCTTACCCACTAAGAATAGATGCATGAGTACCAGCTCTTGAGCAGGAAGATCATTTTGAAGGAGCGCAGACATGGTGGGAACGTAGATCTGGTGGCCTTGTATCGACCGGCAGATGGTGCGAAATGCCACTAGGCTTGGTAGGAAGCCTTGGCCCTGGTTTTTAGCCTTGTTTTTACCCACAACAGTACTGTTCGAGTGGCGAGCAGAGACGGCCGGTCTTAGGACATGTAGAATGTCATTCGGACTTGCTAGGTGTGGATCTTGAAGTTTTCGATGCCATTCCTCAGCCCGATCGATCAGGCCGCGTTCGATGAAGCCGCCGACAATTCTCTCGTAGAGCTTGGGCCACCGGTTCCCAGTCTTACTCCAGAGCTCTCCCGCATATTCAGCCACCTCAACCATCACAATCTCTCGCTTGAAACCGAGGTCGACAAAGCTCTGCCAGAGAAAGTCGGCCAAGTCCCCGTCCACTGGGAGTCGCACATCGTCCACGCGATCAGTTAGAGCCTCCCAAATGACCATTGTTCCTTGCTCTCCATAGTGCCGTTGACGGTATCGTAGTAGCTCAGCCCAGAGACTGGAATCATTTCGGTGGAGTGGGCTATCCACCAGACGAGTTCCGATGTCGCGTACATGTCCAATATCCGATTCGAATTCTAGCTTCTCTGTTTGTATTCGGAATCGCGATGGGTACCATTGCTTGTCGAGAGAGCTTTCACCATTTGCAACACTATCCTCTGCTTGCGCCTTCGGTGCTTTGATCTTGTGGACCTGGAAGCTCAATTTTCGTCTTGTTGAGGGAGAGGGAGATTCGCTGCATGCTGTCTGTTCTCGGTTGACGGAGGATATGTAATTTTCTTGTCGGGTACTCCTGAATAGACATCGCAGACATCTCTGATCGCGTCTAAGCTCCAATTGTTCAACCCCGGCCGGTGCTGAGATCAGGGAGTCGAGAACCGAAAGAGCTGACGGTCTCTTCAGTAATCGAAGAAGAGCCGGGCGCATGAGTCTTGAGACGAAAAGGAAGAGAGGAGAACGATAGATCTGACCATCCTCCTCATTCGCTCCCTGAAAGCACGGAAAATCTCTTGCACATGTGAATCGATGGTGATTGAGCTCAGCTGCTGCGCACTTGGATTCCGCGGAAACTACTTTTCTGGGGGAGACCAATCTGTTGAGCCAAACCTAGTTAGCTCTGGTACTGCGTCATCACGTGAAATTATTAAGCCTTGCATCCTAAAGGCGGAAGTGTGAGGGTAACCACGTGACCAGGACATGCTCGGGTCCACACTTCACGACATCGACTGATCATTGTTACTGCCAATCTTCTAGCTGCCATTCTCGTCTTCATTCTCTAGAAAACCTCGTTCTTGTCGCATTCGCATAACCGCCAAAATGTTCCGCACCGCTCCTCGCATGGCTGGGTAAGCCTCTACTACTCTTTCTTGTTTTTCATCCCCTTGCACGGTCTCTGCGCTCCCGATTCATAACTCGTTCGTCAGCTCGGGCAGCGCACCGTTGACCGGGCTCTGACCACTGCTTATCTCCCAATTGACTTCCACATAACTGACATATGTTGAATCTCTCCATAGATTTGTGTTCCGTGAGAACCGTGTCCCCTATTACCAGCGTCTCTTCCAGAAGCACGACGGCAAGCGTCAGTGGTATAAGGTTAGTTGGGTTGGAATGATTATATGGTAGCATGGAAGGTCTAACCATCATTCTCCGTTTACCCACAGACCGAGCGCAGCAACTACATCATGTACCCTTACCTCATCTCCGTCTATGGTCTCGGCATTGGTGAGCAATACTCATTCTCGCGCTATCGAGTTGTCCATACTAACGTCTCTTCAGCTACCACCTATGCCATGGGCCGCATGGTCTTCGTAAGTGCTGCCCACATCTAATCTACACTTGACTGCGTTCTTTGCTTGAAAAGCCAATTGCTAACCTTGGCAATAGGGCCACAAGACCTGGTTCGGTAAGGAGTAAACGCCTAATACTTTGCCAAGTATGATCCCGCAGCGTCTTGCGATTGACATTCCTTGACACCAATTGGCGGTACGTCTGGGTTTTTGTAACGGTCTATTTGAGAGGAAGACTGGGATAATCGACGTTGTACATAAATTAAGCTAGGGCGTCAATGTGTGAAATCTTTCCTCGACTTTCCTGTTTCGGCTTGAAAATCCACAGTACAATTGTTCCGGGCGACTTCCAAAGTTTCGATACAAGTACAGGACACGCGGGGCACCTAGGTTCTTTATCACCCAACGATGAGAACGTGCATCATGTTATTAGTATAGGACTACTGCTTGCGGCAACAAGCAGATTTTAATACCAGCACCTTACACCACCTGAGATCGGCCAACTTTCTGACTGTGAGACTTGAGTGCCGTGTCCTAAATGAAGGATCTCTCTCATCATGCCATATGACAATTAGCATGGAGAATACGTCAAATGAACGCCTCGTGATTGGTTAGAATTAGCATAACAACCTACCTCTCACGGTATCATCAACGTCAATGCACACCCCAGCCTTCAGCCGAATCTTTTATGTGTGCTATAACTTTTCAACTATTATCTACATCATCGTGTTCAGTCATCGTTAATATATCTAGTTATTGATATAGCCTTATCGAGTGGGTTCGTAGGCCGTTGATTAGTCATCCCAGCGCGGTTCAGTTAGTTAACTATCCCATCCACATGCAAGCAAGCACTTACTGGTATACCTCACTGTTGTTGATATTGTTCCTTGACCACGACCTTGTGACTTCCGAACTTATCAAGTTTGAGTTATTGCCATTGCAATTACGGTCAATACAATTACCCGACCGATGTAAAATGTGCCTTTTTCCTGATATCCACAACCATCAGGAGGCTGCCGTAGGGAACTAATCTTCCTGCGTTAGGCTGCTACGCACTCCGGGGAGCTGTTGTTAGCACAGAACACATCTCAAAATCGAGACTCGTGGATAATACCCGACATAGATACTACGCTGATATGGATTTGGAGTCCGCTACTCCTGAGCGGCCCGCTAAGCGAGTGCGGCAAGCTTGTGAGCCATGCAGGTAAGCCGGACTGATTGCCCGGCATCGCGCTATATGACACATTAATGATTGATTATTTCCAGGCGGAAAAAGGCAAAATGTCCTGGGGAGCAGCCAGCTTGCTCTCTATGTGCGCGGTTGAATCAAACATGCACCTATGCTGGAGAGCACCGAAGGCCATTGGCCAATGGACTTAATTATTCAGGAGAATCAATCTCTGGCGTTTCCACCTCAGAGGCCAGAATCTCACAGATATTGGTATTTCGGCCAAAGGTCGCCCTGAACTTTGCTTGTGTCTAACTTTGCCACGTATAGGAAGATCGTCTGGGAAGCTGGGAAGTTAAGATGAGCGAGTTCCTTGACACCCTGGAGTAAGACGTCACGTTCTCACTGTTATTGCATCAGTGACTGATAATTTCTCGCTAGGCGAAACGCGCAGAGTCGCGCTCGACAGAACACAGCAACTGCCGGCCTAGTTTCCCTGGCCCCTTCTTTGAAATTTTCGGCACCAAATGCACTCACTCCTCTACCCAGATGGGAGAAGGTAGTGTCAATAGCAGAGTTGTACTTGCAATACTGCGAATCTCAGCCTCTCCCTTTGTTTCACAGGGACAGCTTTCTGAGAACCTTGCCAACTCGTGATCCAGAGATAATCTATGCTATCTTAGCCTTGAGTGTACGGTTTTCAGATGACGAAGCGTCAAGTCCTGATGCACTCTCGTCTCTCATTAATGGCTATACGGAAGTGGCTAGAGGTCTGGTCATGAAAAGGGTTTCGGAAGGGCCAGTTGAACTTTCCACACTCCAAAGCTTGTGCCTACTAAGCCTTGTTGACTTTACCAGTAGGTGGTACATATATGCTTGACCTTCTTTTAATTAACTGAAACAGACGGAAACACACATCGCTCAAGTATTCATTGTAGTCTGGCAATGAACCTGGCACAGTGTGCCAATCTGGGCTCGGAATCGCCTTCGTCACACTTCTCCTTAACACGTGAAGAACGTAGGCGCTGCTTCTGGAGCATCTATCTGCTGAAACGTATTCATGGTGTTGACGTTGAGAACTTGGATTCTCCGGAGGGAAGCTTCCCTCCTTTCCCCGAGAGTCCAAGTAGGCCTCCACCGCCGAATTCTCTAATTGATGCGGCCGACGAGACTCGGTCTTTAGGAATGCATGACCAGGGTATCCTCGCGTACATGATAATGCTCAGTGGTGTATTCGCAAAAACTGCCAAGTATGTCCGGCGTCATGGGAAGCCCGGGAAATTGCCTCCTTGGTCGTCCGAATCAGACTACTCGGAGATCCTGGCTGCTCAAATGGACCTTGAGACTCAGATGCCCTACATTCACAGGTTCAAGCCAGCTAGCCTAAATGAAAGGACACTGGAAGAGCTTCAGGCAAGAAGAGACTACTGGGGTCCGTGGTTGTTGAACCAATTCTTATATCACACAATACTATGCCTGGTCAATCACCCGCTTCTCCTTTCGCTCAGTCTTAGGAACTTTCGAAGTACCATTCCTGAGATATTTCTCCAGCATAGCTCGGATCTCATTTCATCTCACACAACATGGATCATACATTTTATCAACTTTTTCGAAGAGCGGTGTTTTACGATCTCGGACCCGTTCCTGGGATATAGCGCTGCTGTGGTAGCTACAATCGAATTGCAGCTTAGTTTTACCGAGAATGCTGTTATTCGTGATGACAAGCGGGACCGTTTCTACAGGTGTGTCAGGTTTGTGCAGAAGTTGGGGCAAAAATGGCCTCATATGGCACGATTGGTAAGCTGACGCGCCCATCCGCTATCTCTGTACATGAGCTGACAGAGGGTGTGTGGTTAGGCGGACAGGCTACAGAAGTTGGAGGATGCTGTGTCTGCATCCTATCAGCCGGCCTCGGGCTCACAGAGTAAATATCTTCTCATAGACCTGTCCCGCTTCTGGGAGATTCTCGAATACTCCTCCAACAGTGACACCGACTCAGCTCGTCGCATGTTCGGGGACTCTTTGTACTCTGAGCCTCCTACAAGCGCGGCTGAAGTATCTCAGACATCTCCCTTACCTGAACCATTTCGCCTAAATTCTCACCACACGTCAGCGTCATCACCAAGCTCACAGTTCAATCTGCCTACTTCGCTCCTCGTAGGCGGACAAGATCCAATGGGGTCTATGGGTTCATCTCGGTCGCCCGACCCAATGAATGACGAATTCTCGATCTTGGCCGCGAATTTCTTCTCTCAAGCTCAAGACTTTTTGCCGAGGGGTGATGGCAGAGATGGTTTCGGTCACCTCTGAAACCTAGCTACATGCCAAAGTCTGTCTATGTCCCTCCGCATACTAGGAGAAACGTACGCTCAGTGTTTCCGGCTGCCTGTCTATGAAGAGAGTTCTAAACTGGATTCTCCAGATCATCACGAATCACCGGGACTAAAAGATGTGGGAACCGCAAGGCGCTTTCGAAAAACTGGATTCATGAATTTTGTATACATTAATCGTGGTAACTGTACATTCATCTTGCCTGGCTTTGTCCCTTCACACCACTAGCTTGGATCAAACCTCCAGTGCCTTTCTAAAGATCTGGACAAATGTCCATACCTCACTGAAAGTGTTGTACAGCGGAACGGGTGCCACACGCACTACGTCCGGCTCCCGTTTATCACAGATGATACCGGCTTCCTGCAGCTTTTGAGAAACGTTTTGCAGCAAGCCGGGCTTAAGTAACAAGCTGAGCTGCGCTCCTCTGGCCTCGTGATTCTTCGGAGTGATAATGCGGAATGGTCTTGATTCCTCATCATAGTCCTTGAGCAATAGATATTCAAGGTACGCAGTCAACCGAACAGACTTTTGACGAAGTTCTGCCATTGATGTGCCATCGAAGACGGACAGCGCGGCACACAGCGCTGCGAGATCGATGGCCGAGGGGTTTGAGATCTGGAAGCCCCCAGCGCCAGGGATAGGCTTGAATTCTATGAGCCGATCGTTAGTTCACAATCCTCTTGTAGATGCATGGACCCGGAAGGTGCGGTGGGACTTACTGTTGTCCATCTTGAATCTCACTGACCGATCACCGCCGTACCAACCAGTCAAACGATGACGAAACTTGGGACAATCTTCTCCTTCCGAGTAGTCAACCTGGCCATGCTTTTCGTGCACGAAAAGTCCGCCCATCGCGCCGGGGCCCGCATTTCCATATTTGTATGTGCACCACGCCGCAAAATCCACATTCCACTCATGCAGCTTCAACTCCAGGTTGCCATAAGCATGAGCTAGATCCCATCCGACGACGAGATTACGTGAGTGCGCGTAATGCGTGATCTTCTTGATGTCAAAGAACTGTCCGGTATAGTACTGGATACCAGGGAGGAGAAGAAGAGCCGCTTCATCGGCGTTTTCGTCGATGAGGGACAAAATTCTCTCGGTAGAGATCTCGTATTCACCTTCCTCCGGGCCGATCAGTACCATGGACTGTTTCGGGTCCAGATTATGCCAGGCAACCTGAGATTCGATAGCGTACTATGCGACAGTCAGTCTCAACTTAGACCATAAGGACTTTCACCGAGGGCATTTGCATACGTGATCACTGGGGAATGCCTTCCAGTCCAGGATAATCTTATGCTTGGTGACAGTGGGCTTGTAGAAGCTGGCTAAGAGAAGGTGGAGGTTCGTCGTCAAGGTTCCCATGGCTGCCACTTCGTCTGGTTTGGCCCCAACAATCTTGCTCATGGAAGCTGCAGCTTGCTCTGATAGCAACTGCCATTGCTTCAGAGGGGAATCCTCGAGGTCAGTGAAATGGCCACCAACCCCAATTGACGCCCAGGTATCTAGCTGTGCTTCGACAAAGTTGACGGTCGCTTTCGGTTGAATACCAAGAGAGTTACCGCAGAAATAAATGCAAGGCTCGGAGGAGAGTCCTGCCCAAACTGTCAGGAATCAAGGCTACTCAAATTTGGGGGTTTGATATTTACCGGGCTTAGCAAGCTTCTTAGAAGCGATGTTCGCTTTGGATGGAATGATAAATTTGTCTCTGAACGCAGCAAGAGGGTCTTGTGAGTCGAGTTGGGCTGCGTACTCGGGCGATGCAGCCTCCTCCGTGAAGACAGGCTTGGACATGGTGGTGATTGAAGGTCTGGGTAGCAAAGAGATAGAATGACCTGAGGAACTTATACTAGTGACAGTGACATTCCTTGGTTCACTATCACATATTTATAAGATAATCACTAAAACAACGACTGCCTTCCTTGGGTTTGACCCGGCACGGATGCCGTTCCGCTTCCGCCTCCAGATCCGTGTTTCCTGGTGATAAAAACATTCGCTGATAATGAAATGGCATTTTTCGGACTTTTATTGGAAAATTGACTGACGTTATTAACACCACCTCTTTTGAATGTCCCTGCAGATCATTGTTATCTACTTCATGGTGGTACGATACTGTGTCACAATACCTTAGGGGCCTCTACTACAACCCGCTCCGGCTCCGGTACTGCCGCAATTCATTGTTGGAATAACTATATAATTCCTGTTGTTGGCACTGCCCACATTGACTTAAACCATCCATCACTGAGTATCAGATTCCCTCAAACTACTTTGCACCCTTCATCATGTTGAACACGCCGGGCATCTGCTTAGAGCAATACGCTCTTTCCTTCCAAAATGGCTTCCTTCCTGATAGTCCTCCTCTACAACAACTGCCTGACCCCTACTACTCCCCATGGGAAAGCATCGTCGCCAACTTGCCAACTCGTATCGAAGAGCGGGTGATAAGGCAGTCGATAGATGAGTTGCCAATTCTTACCACTAGCAAGCTAGCATCTGAGCCGGAATGGAGAAGAGCATATGTTGTGCTTGCTTATCTTACCCATGCCTACATCTGGGGCGGAGATACACCTCGCGAAGTAAGAGACCCTTCCTTATGGCTCTCCACCGTCTCCCCATGCTGGGTCCGTTGCTAATTGTGGCGTCTTCGTGTCTAGGTGTTACCACCCTGCATCTCGCGGCCCTTCATCGAGGTGTCGAAACATCTAGAACTCCCACCGTGTGCGACGTACGCAGCTCTGAACCTTTGGAACTTCAGAATCTCACAAGAAAACGCCGACCTGACTGACCCCGATAATCTATCGGTTGTCAACTCGTTCACTGGCACGAAAGACGAAGAATGGTTTTTCATGCTTTCGGTGGCATTGGAGGCCAAGGGAGCACAGCTTATCCCGCTGATGACCAATGCCATCCAGGCCGCCAGTGTTGATGACGCTGTGTTGGTGAAAGCACATCTTGACCAGCTGGCCGAAGGTCTTGTCGAGCTTGGGGAGCAACTGGAGCGTATGTATGAGCACTGTCAACCAACCGTGTTCTATCATCAACTACGCCCCTTCCTAGCAGGTAGCAAGAACATGGCGGTAGCTGGGCTGCCGAGGGGCGTGTATTACAACATGGGAGATGGCGAAGGTGAATGGCGTCAGCACAGTGGCGGCAGCAATGCACAAAGCTCCTTGATCCAGACATTCGATATATTCCTTGGTGTGGTGCACCATGCGACGGGGGAAGCAAAGGACTCTACCGGGAAGCCCCCTGTTGCCTCCAAGGGCGGATTCATAGAAGTATGTACCAATTCTCCAGGTATGATGACCGCGTCATGATACTAACGCTGGTGACCTAGCAAATGCGCAAATACATGCCAGGACCCCACCGCCGCTTCCTCGAGATGTTGGTTCGCACAGCCAATGTCCGCTCATATGCTCTGAGCCACAAGGCTGACTCGCCGGTACGGGATGCATACAACGGAGCCGTGATGTCACTGGGAAGATTCCGAGACAAGCATGTCAAGATGGTGACACGATACATTATCGGGCCTGCGCGCGGTACGCCCCCAAGTGAGACGTCCTCGCAAATCAATCTGGCGACCAGGACATCGACGCGCATGGAAAGCTGGAACGGACAAGGAGTTACTGATGGAGTTCATGGTACTGGAGGGACTGACCTGATTCCGTTCTTGAAGCAAACACGAGATACCACCAAGGCCGCAGCTTGCTACTCGGATTGAGTGTGACGACCATACTGTGTGACTTGCTTGTTCGAGGTATGGGGACAGCATCATCACCATCGTCCATGTACATAATCGAATGCCACAATAAACACACACTTCTCTTTCACTTGCCTTCACAAGTCGTAGAAGTCCTAGTCTCTTACTCTTATGGTGTAATTATCGCAGTCATACTACTGGCACCATTTATCGGGAAATCTTGTCCAGCCCTTTAATTCGGGCGTTGGTGTGAGTAAATATGATAAGAAGACCCATGAATTATTGCCAGATTATCACAGCATCATGATCTATAACTGCGTGACAAGCTGCAGCATCCCTACACGAGGTACAGATCAGCCCCTATCTTATGGTGTAAACTCATATACAGTACAGTACAACCCGAGAGAGAGCTTATGTTGCTCCAAAGAAACAATATAACAAAACACGAATACGATGGAAAAGAAAATCCCCGACGGATGATTTAATGTCACTCAAAAGCATGCTTTCGATCCAGAACCCAGAATATGTATGCTGACAATCTTGACCAACATTCCAGTGGCGTCATATGTTAAAAGCCCCCTCACGAGCCAGGGGCTGGACTGGGGCGGACCGGAAGCGGAAGCGGAAGCGATTCCGGATAACCACCACGGCGACATCCGTCAGTGAGACGGGCAGATACGGGAGGCACATTGCTATTCAACATCCCTTGATCCATGATAATGTAGCAAGAGTGGATCTTGTTGATAGCCCGGGGCGAGGACAAGTCATGACGAGTAGTCATCTTTTGGTAAGCAGTCTTGATCATTATCATGCGGGCGTGGTGTCATGGTAGCGATCTTTCAGCCGAACAGATGCTTGGCTTCTATAGATAAGCCAAGAAACATATTTCGATAGACTGTATCGCTATAAGTCTTAGGAAGCAAAGGTGCGCGTATCTCAGAGGGAGCTTTCTCTCAAGGACTTGGAAGCAGATCCCATGGGCTGGTCCGATCGTGGGTTGGGTCGTGGAGCTCTAACGCTGTCAGAAGGCTAGACTGAGTGTGTGGGGAAGTGGAAGGAAGCTTGGATTGCCCCCCCCCAGTAAGAGCATACGTACTATATGATAGCTGGTATGCTCCCCACAACACCACAATCAAGCTTATGGTACACTGCGACTAATTGGATGCGTAGGTCTATTAGCAACCCTACCCAACATGTTGCTATAATTTCTTTCAATACGTTCTTCCCTACGCCTGACTACCTGTTGCCTCCAGGCATGAATCCCCTCCACTGAGCCTTACGAGCATTTACCGTTACTGTACTGCACTCATACTTTTAGTAGGAGGTCGTTTGACCGGACAGACCACCCGAAACCTTAAGGATGTACATGCAGTACTGGATTCCGCCCTGGCTAAGAGCTGGTAAGGGGGACAACATGCTCGGCGATTGAAGTCAATTCTCGGTCGGCGATCTGTTATCGCATCATCGAGGGCGATATGGCGACTCAGTTTCACCGCAATTTCCTGGCCAGTGAGCTATCACGATGCGGATTTGTGTTGCGTATACATCGCGGCTTCTGGGCGGGATGGTGATGCTGTGGTGTGGGCATGCGAATAGGATTGCAAGTCCCGTGCGATGCAGTGGGATAATCATAATAGGTATGATAAGTTTGTCTCCGCTCGTGCAATGCTTGTCATGTATAATACATGGGATGTCTGGATATGGACATCTGGTAGGATGTGGAAGATCTACCCAATCTCACAGGGGCGATTGAAGGCACGAAAAAGGAGCGAAGCTGGGATTGTTCTGGTCTTACGAGACATCATCGCGGCTGTTTGTTGTAGATATGTCACCCAAAGGAACAAGTAGAACACATTGGGAAACCTGGTCTTTACCGACTGTATAGTACATGATCCAACCACCATCTACTGGCTCTTCGCTTGCGCATTGGGCATCTACTCGTCGTCATGCTGTTGATCACTAGGTTAGCTTGGACTCGCCCTCGTGAAACCAGCCAATGCCGAGAGAACAAATAATGGACAGAGGATTATCCTCTGGCCTTGATAGATCTATCATACTGCATCATCCAGAGGCTCTGACATGCCCGATGCTGTTGCTCGAGTCTCAACATCGACATCATGTTCCTCCCACTCGACATGACTGACTCGCTTTGGTAAACCTAATGCATAATAGCTATCAGCCTGCAGGAACCTGTGTCGAAATGCTCTGCCATGGCCACGGCCTCTTTCTAGATCGCCGGGAAAAAAAACTGGTGGAAGATGAAGCTCTTTTCAGAGCAATAACACTACTGGGTGCCATAGCAGTTGGTGTTCTCATCTGCTGATCTAGCTGAAGTGTGTCCTCTTCTCCACTTGTGACAGAGTGTCATGGCTTCCAGTAGGAATTGAGATTAACGACCAGGCAAGAGATCAGTGTTCAGCATCCCACGAGAGACTGCGTAATTCATATCCAGGAATTGAGAGGTCGATTTGCTCTGGTTATCATCGGTTATCGTCGTGCCAGGGCGGACAGAGCACACTATTGGCTGACGCGTCGGCGGTTCCACTGGACAAATTGTCAATCGCCGACCAGCTGGCTCAATCGCCGACCGGTTCTGTTGTAGAGTCAAATATTAGTTATATCAAGCAGCTTTATAAAAAGTCGCAGTGCATTGCCACAACAAGTGTCATTCTTAGTTGTTACAATTATACTTGCCTGGAGCTTCATCCTACCGGATAAACTCTCTCAATTGGACCTGTTGACTGCTATCGACTGCTGAGCCATGTCTTCAACCTTACTTGCCTCGAACTTCACTTCGTCTCCCGTCACAAAAGACAGCATTACGTCGCTGCAGCATGGGGAGTATACCTTTGATCAGCTGGTGCAAGACCTGAAGATGTACCTTGGTAGCTCGCGGGGCATTGGCACAGAACAAGTTGACCACCGTGTCCTCATGGCTTTCATGTCCAAATATGCCTCCAACCGAGCAGACTGGTCTCGTTTTGCACGGAACGACCCAAGCAAAAACTATACCCGCAACCTAGTAGCCAATATCAACGGACGGGCAAATCTGGTAAGTTGCTGTCGCAGTCGCGAGGGGCTAAAGGTGTTTTGGCTGACCATGGTGGCAGCTGGTCCTCGTCTGGAACCCAGAGAAAGGATCTCCGATCCATGACCATGCAAATGCGCACTGCATCATGAAGATTCTCGCGGGCGAGCTGAATGAGGCAGTATATGACACTCCTGATCCTGAACAGAGCCACGAGGCCCCGTTGAGGGTGAAGAAAGACACAACGTATGGGACCGACGAAGTGGCCTATATTTGTGATCAGATTGGACTGCACCGGGTCATGAATCCTCGCAGTGACCAACTGGCCGTTTCCCTGCACTGTATGCGCCCCCTCATCACCTGAAATGTGACAAGCTTTGACTGACTGGCAACAGTGTATACGCCTCCGAATGCAGCGGACTTTGGGTACAATATCTATGACCGAGAGTCGGGTCGGAGAAGTCATGTCTACCAGGCGTAGGATTTTATCAAGAATGGGCTATCGTGCGGTGCAAGTAATGAATAACGAACTAGATTAATAAATAGACTTTGTTTTTTTTTTTTCCAACTCTAGCACTTGTAGTAGAGGACAGACACCCGAGGGAACCTAAGAGAGATAGACTTTGAAAGCGAACCGAGAGTCCGACAACAGATGATAGTTAAAATGTGCATGCATAAACACTGCTGAGTCATACCCAAGTAATGCGTCCGTTTCCTTCAATCGCCGCTCAGCATCGGCCTTTGCATTACTGTCTTTAAATGCGCCTCGCTTCCTTCAATTCACCGAAAATGCACTGGGCCTCTGACAATTTTGTAGGCCCCTGTGTTCTCTGTAGACGCAGTGGCTTCAGAGAAAAAGATTCTGTGTAAGGTCATTGCTCACTTTGCGGATCTCAATATGGTCCGCCCAGCACCACTTGCCTGCACGGAATGTCGCAAGCAACACCTCAAATGCGACGCAAAGACACCGTCATGCTCCCGCTGTCTCGAGAATCGATTCAACTGTCTATATCTACCTTCACGGCGTGGAGGAAGGCGAAAGACCCGGGATGCGACTCGACAACAGCCCCTAGCTACAACTCCCAACTATACTCGTCTTCTGCAACAGCCAATGACTTCGCATCTAGCTACACCAAGCACGATCATCCCCCACCATGCTTCTAGTGTCAATATGACAGAGGTCTCGCCTTCCTCCTCGGGGCAGCAAGACCTTCCGATCCAATTAGCAGAAGGTATTCAAGATTCCACCGAGTCCGACGCCCGCCTGGTTCGCCTGTATTACGAAAACTTTCATGCTGCGCACCCAATCCTGGTCCCCGCTCCTCTCTATGACGAGCGCAAATATCCGAAGTATTTGCACGAAATTGTTGTCCTGATAGGAAGCCATTTCTTGCCGCAGTCGAGTGCATCGCTATCTGAATCAACGTTGGCCGAGTTGAGCGCCAGCGGTGAGAGGACTCCGTGCAAGGTCCAGGCTCTTCTCCTTTACTCAATACTGTTATGCGCCCGCGAAGAATGCCCGCAAACCCAGATCATGTTCTCTACTGCGGTTGACATCGCTTTGGAGCTGGGCATGTATCGACGAGATTTTGCGACCACATCATGCGACGAAAGAGACGTTGAAGCAGAAAGTCTGCGCAGGACGTGGTGGGAGCTCTTTACCGTGGACGTCCATATGGCTGCTTTGCAGAAAAAGGTCATCCTGCGATGCAGCAGCGTCCCATATGACGTTGCCCTGCCTTGTGAAGAAGCAGCCTATGCCAATCATTCGAGCATCCCAACCCCGCCAACCCTTGCTGGATTCAACAAACGGATTTTTACTGCTGACGATGATGATGGCGAGGCCGACCAGTCCCGCTATTCATCTTACAGTTATCGTATTGAAGCAGTGTGCATTCTGGCTCGTGTCATCGTGCTCAACAGTTTACCTGAGACACACAGGGACCATCTGCAAGCTGTGGAAAATGCGCTTGTCAGCTGGACAAACCACCTC